ACTGTAATTCAGGAGTAATATACAAACCCACAGTCCCATGGATCACGGTAAACCAGATTGAATGTCGTCCCTTATAAGGTTCTTAATTCTTGGAGGATTTTTGTTTTCAAATGCCGTAACAAAAAACACGGCTCGATCGAACTAGGAATAACTCAGTCCGCTGTTTCACAAATGGGTTCACGTGGGGCTGGGATAGAAATCTCCTCAAGTAAAACCACAAAACATTTCAACGTAGGAGTAGATTAGAAAGGTCGAGAAAGCGTTCAGGAAGCTGTCAACTGCTTGATATAAAAATCAATATTTTGCTAAAATACACGCTATTTACCCAACCACCGTGATGCATCGTAAAGTGTCATTGGAAAATTCATTTTCAGGATGATGTGGCTTAACTAGTTTTCCTTAACTTACATGTACTGTTGTCTCTCCTGCAGTCCGCGTGATAACCCGCCAGCCCTTTCTACATCCGACTGATAGTAACAGCTCAAGCAGGACATTTCCCAGTTTTGACGTCAGAGCTCATTTCCGCACAATGCGACCATTTTTGTCCGTGTCCTACTTTACCCTTTTGCTGACGTAGAAGCTGTCACTTTCTGATATCTGAAGATATCAGGAAGATCAGAACGCCCGAAACCTACTGATACCCTAAAACTCGACCAGAATGTCAACAAGAAAGCCAGCAAGCATCCAGGCCAGTCAATCATTCACTCAATTCAGCAAAAGCCGATGGGTGTTCATGCACGCCACAGAAGTACGACCGAATGTGATCAGCGTTCAGGCATTTCATAGAGGCACGATCGATGTTGACGGGTGTTCACTAACGCCTATCAGACAGCCTGGATCAATGTCAGAAAATCCCCTTTAAAATAGCGTGGGCCTTGTTAACTTTTTCTCTCGCACTCGCATGCACTCACTCGCTTGTTCGGAATATAGCTGTTGTGTTCCCTTCCGTGATTTTTTTTCGTGACTAGGTACTGCAGCGGGTCAGCAAGAGATACCACAGATTGGCGAATCAGCAGATACGTCTATATCTGTATATATACACATACATATACATACATATACATCTGTATATATACACAAATACGACTTGTCCCCTCCATCAGGTCAGATAGGTATGGATGGTTTCGAAAGAAGAGGGAACTGCTGCAAACAACTAAATTTAACGCAGTACAGCAGTTCCTCGTTATGTGGAAAATTCATCTGAGAAGACCTCCATCTGCGTAAAAGTATGTTCTTTGTTTAATGGGATTTTCACTGGGGGTACCGTCTCACCACTGATGTAATGTACACACCAGGTTTTGACGCTCACACATGAAAATGCACTGGGTACTTTAGAATTATCTTCAGTGGCAGAGAGCAAGAAGAGTGTCATTGTGCCCTGACGAACTAGAGTAGTTGACTGATGGTGATATTTACTTAGAAGTGCTCTGCTCTATGAGGGTCGTGATCACCGGAATATTTTGAACGGCGTGGTCAAAGTCGGTCTCCCATGGAAGTAACGCATCACAGAAACGAAACTGAATCCTCACACCCATGAAGACATTTAGCCCCTAAACAGCAATCCAGCCCATCCACCTATCTCGTTTCACACAGTGACGGACTTAGTCAATTTTGCCAAGAGTTGATAAAAAGAACAGTATTCTTTGTTAACTCGTTTTGAAAAAGGTAGAAAGGAAAGCCACCAACGTTTGCTAGCACAAAGTAAACACTGGGGCACAATACAGAGCATTTGATTGACAGATGACCCTAGCGACTTTTAATATGACACAAGCTGTTGATAATCACACTGCGCTCAAGTGAGATTCCTGTTATCACCTACCTTTGGTGGTCAGCTGTAACCCGCAACTGTCATCCTCGCAGGTGACGTGGTCTTTTTGTGTCTATCATGCCCTGGCACCCCGAAAAGTGTTGAGGCGAACAGATCTGTCTTGCATGAAGTGTACAAGAACTCGGCTCTTGTCAGGAAAAATCTCTACACGCTTTGGCCTTGACAGCTTGACTTCTACTGCATTATATTCGCCCAAAGACATATGCCGAGCATAAGTAGTTTCCGAGGACTGCGTGTAAAATAACGCACATAGTGAAATTAATACCTGAGGTTGCTGAAATGCTCTCTGAGGACCACTATCGAATTCGCTCTTCTTTTGGTCCATCAGGTAGGCGCAGCCCCAGAGCTTACATCAATCTCAAGTTTTAACTGACACTCAGTTGTACATGTTTGACGAACTACACCCATTTGCACATTGGGTTGGTGCCAGTGGGAGACTCAAATGAGTAGTACGTTATGTCAACCAAATGTACTATGTTAGGTCGAATATTGTGCCAAATGAAAAAGAGGCGGACTTTGTGCAGTTGAAAAATAGCATAAACAAGTGATTTGCTGGAGTTTGTCTTTAAAACCATCGCAAAGTTCTACTGGGTCTAATTCACCAGTCATTCGAGGGTTCCTCGCGTAATTGAAGTTTATCTATATCAAAGAGCCGAGAAGTTCTGTACGCCTGTTTCAGCCTTGCTGGGAATCATCATCGGTAGACATCTAGCGAAACTCCAGGGAGGTGTGAACTCGAACCCTCCCGGCTAGTAGTTGAAGATTAGGCCTTTCGGTGACGAGTGCTTGATTAGCAGTACTTCTCCGCTTCTTGGCACAGAGTAACCACACTCACAGGACAAAATATCGGTTGAAAAAAGTTTCCACATCTCATAACAAAAACGAACTTATTCCGTTGTTGGATGTCTAGCGAAATGCGCCAACCACAGCACCGGAACACATAGAGCATCATTCCAAGAGATACCGAAAAACATATTTTGGGGTAAATCCGGATAAAAATGGTGGGTGGACATCCCGCGGCATGCCTTCATTTGGCAGAAAGTCACTCTGAAGTTGTGTTATAATCTTATATGCCCCTCTAGAAGGATGCATACCCTGTTTGAGGTTTAAAAACAGCGTACCTTACAGCCACAAGCTGATGTGTAGTCGTCAGAGAACAGTCAGAATTCCTCCGTCAGGTAAAGAAATACCGTCCACACTGGTCGCTTAAATGATCGCCCGTAAATGGCAATAATCGTTATGAGAAAAGCATCCATTTTCTCAAAAAGTGATCAGATTTCCCTCTTTTGCTTTACATGTTTCCGTTTCTGCGACATCTTACCAAATAATTCTGCCATAAATAAATAAGCAGACAAGCAAGCAAACAAACAGAACTATGCCATCAAAATGCGATCCTACACGCAACTGATTCTCCGGAACTTTGGAAGGATGCCAAAAACTGTTAGAGCACGTAAGTTGAGTGAATTGATAGTGGCAGATTGATTTGCATATGCTTGTGATTTTCAAGAACATACTCAATCTTTATCCAAAAAGGGTCTATGTACAAGGCTTCCGATCTCGCTCAACGAAATAAAAACTCGGGGAGCATGAAAAATGTTTTTTGTAAGACGGTGAGGGACCATGTAGCGAGTTGACTGCATTATCGATAGAACACAACATAAAAATCACTGCCGCATGGAAATGTTGAATTACGGAGCCACTGAAGTCGCCCATATAAACTAATATATCCCTACTAAGTACAGCATGTGTTGAAAAATATGTGTACTGGGGTCTTGACCTATAACCTTCTCTGTTTAGCGGAGTGCCGTGATTCGAATCCAATCCACCCCTTTTGCTTACTCCTGTCTGTACTTGGCCAGCCTGGCAGTAGCTAAGTCCCTGTGACTCCTTCCAGTTGCATGGCAGGTGTGCACCGAAAGGGAGCCGGAACTAAACCAGTGTTACGTATGATATATATATAGTACTCCTCTCTCCCGAGGGTCGAAAATGCCTATATGCAAATCCGGCGGCAAACGACCGCAAATGCCATATAGGGTATCCTATAGCACCGAGAAGGTGAATACAGTGCCCGGAAGGCTATATTAAATCGCGACGCCCAGAAATTCCACAGTAAAACCCGAGGGCCGAGATTCCTATAGTAAAATGCGAGTGTCGGGATTCCTATAGTAAAATGCGAGTATGTAATTGTCACGAATACGTAACAGTGCCTGAAAACATCATAAACGAGAGATTCAGCTGGATTCCGGGTGTGTCTCGAAAGAACCAAATTGGTTTGCAAATGAGTGTATATTCGCTAAACCAGTGTTAGTTTTTGTCAAGGCAAAAAGTGGTTTAAGTCATGCTGTCAGACAGAGGAACGGACTGGCGCATTTTCGAGTATTTTACTTATTTTTCACAGAAGTTGTATTGATCTCTAGTGTGTGGCAGAGGGAAATTAATAGATATAATAATCCTTTGTTCCAACCCAACATGTTCTACCTCTCACGCGTTATGCTGCCTAACACAGTCGCCTTTCAAATGTTATCTGGCCATAAAGTACTGAGCAATTCGTGTTCATCCGTACCACTAGTTGGTGCCGAAAATCAACAGATAATCGGTTATGTAAAGTTATTGAGAATTTTTCAAGAGCATCCATTAGAAAGTACCTTTTGTTGAACCCATCGGGCAGATGAGTTTCCGAGGTTTTGCCAAAGTTAGGTTCTTCTAGAACACTGAGTCATACGGATATGTCGAAACAGATCATCGTTAATTAGGCAAGTTTTAACGAGAGATTCAACTGAGATGATAAGCTTGAACTGAAAGTTCTACGCGTAAGCTGCATTATGCTTTGGTTGGTACGGAACTCATGTACCGGAGTATTTCTCTTTAACACAATTCTGGTAGTAACGTCCTTGAAACCTTTGCAAAACCAGTTAACACCGGACAAATCTGCTTGTTGGTTTGCTCTCCGAGTTCGGCAGTTGGATTTCAAAGTCTTCATCACCAATCAAGGTGACATCGTCTGTGCGGTGTAAATTTGCGGATGAGTTCAATTCACCAGGTTTATGTTCTTCATGAAGTAGATACATGTATCAAAATCACTACTGGTTTGAGTAAGTGGGTCGTTTGATAAAAATCCTCTCTACAGTAGGAATTTAATTTAGGATGTTATTGCAGTTAGTCAGTGACCTACCTGGTGCAGATATGGAGCCAACCACCTCCATTTGGGGAAGGCCAGTTCCCGGAGCAGCGCATACAGCAACACGACGAGGGGAAACACGATACCCACATAGGAAGCAGCTGTGAACTCGGATATAATATTGAGTACAACCAGGATTCCAATCACCACAGCTTGAATCACAGCAAACACAAGTATGTGTTTGCTCGGTAGTCCACGTACACATTCCCAGTCCTCCCAATGCTTTCGGCGTTTCATCAGAGCAAGGAAACGACGGAAGAATTGAAGGTCCCGTAACCCCATCACACCCATATACAGGAACATACCGTAGAGCGCCGCTACCGGAATAAATCGGAGAACTGACCCAAGGAAGACGGACAAGAAAACCAGCAACCCCACCAGCATACCGCTTACCCGCTGTTCGACGGTCCCGATAACTCTGAAATTCAAACAATAAACATGAATAAAAATCAGTCGCTCAGAGCTGAGGAAGCGTACGTGATCATCGGGAAAACACAGCATATTTAGTATTGAATGCAGCGGACTTTGATGCTTTTTTAAATCACTTTGCATCAGTGGATTTTGGTTGAAAGATCTGCATGAAAAAGACATTGCCAATCAATGATTGTGTTAGATATAAACACCATAAGTGGTCTGAGAACGCAGCCACGACAGAAGCTGTCTACCGATGCAAATTTACACGCGAGTTCTCCCTTGATTAACCACTATATTCAGCGGATGTATGAGCAGTTGACGTTAGGGATAAACCCACTGTTTTTACACTCCACATGAATTGTAGCTTACGGCAATCCTAGTCTCAGATAAATCAGAGCAAGAGTGACATTCTCCACACTCAGTAAGGGTTGAAAGGGCGAAGTAAAAACTACAGAGAAAGAAGGATCACAATCCAACCTTGGCACCAGTGGGTTATAGTGTCATTATTCTTATTAGTAGTAGGCCGTTTCCAGATTTTGTCTGAAAATTCCAGTAGCAGCGTACGGTACCAAGGGATGCTGAGGACAGTAAAGCAAATGAAATTCCCATCTCAGTGCCCTTCGAAGCTGATTGAAATAGAACAAATCGATTGATCTGTTGGGCATATAGACTGCTTCCAATTGAGGTGATTCACTTCATAGGGAAATCTATATGCAAGCACAATGGTCCACGATCACAGTCTTTTCTGTATTGAATCCATGTTGAAAAAATACACTGTGTGCACAGAAACGCTTGAATCAAGCATTAGATTAGATAGATAGTATATGTTATGGATCGCCCCTTTTAGCATAGGATTCGATAAAGGTCTCATTAGATGAATACTGATATGAACTGAAAACAATTACAGAACAAAGAACCTCGAATGAGCAGGGCAGGCAGCCTTAGTCAGCTTAGGTTACTGACAGAACAGGAAAAATAATCGGTCAGCCGTAACACGTGATGATTGAAGGTCATGGCCTAGAAGAAAGCACGAGGGCTGAGAAACTGGGGCTGGAAACTGCCAGATTGTCCTAGCCTAGAATAGAGCAATTGGCATGTTGGTGAACGGTTCGAATCACGGACCTTGCAGTCAGTAAGTTCGCGCTCAAGCTCTGGGATGCATAAGGCAGGAGCGATGGACCGATTGCTAAGCCCACCCTGTTATTGATATCCATTGTCATTAGAAAATAACAGTATAATTCTTAATAACTTTGCATTTGCCTGATACTGTTCCGTTTTCGTGCTTTAGCTGGGTAACATAAAGAGTAGCACGCTGCCTGGACATTGCTCATTTTGATCGTGCGTTTTATGCGATTTTCTGCCTACTTGGAATGTTCTGGATAGATAAAAAATGTGACCTTTAGGCAAGCCATATAGGTGAGACGTAAAGCCGCACAACCCATGACATTAAAAGCGGAAAATTGTGGTGCCCTATGAGAAGGGATTACGCTAGCAGACCCACATTTTAATAATACCTTCCTGTGAAACCTCGGTAGGCGGAATGATATTACCGATCGTTAGTGAACGGTAACCAAACAGCGGAAGCGTATATTTCTATACTGAAGACCTTCCTATTACCATACAAACTAGGGTCAAGCCGTCGGCAACACGATGCTGCTCGATACCTTCAGCTTGAATCAGAAGACGGTGACTGCGGTCCGATAGCAAGTGTGTTTTGATTGGATCTGTGTTTTGCTTGAACCGGGCATATTGGTGGAACAAGTTATGTCATAGGACGAGCATTTAAGTTAAAGGTTAGATGATGAACCTTGTCAAAAGCATGCTGGTGCGTCTCATAGGCGTCAAGAACTTCCTCAACCGTGACACCCATGTTATTATTGACTGTTATTATTGACTGATCCAACAGCCTTCGCATTGTCCTTGGGGGAAAACGCAGCTGCCATTAAACTTCGCAGAGTTACTGACTGGTGTTCCATATTCGGGGATTATTTTGACGAGCCGGTATTCAATGAAAAATGAACTGACCTCATAGAATTTCAGCTAGAACATATTAGTGAAGGGTTAGTGCTACAATTCTACCGCACGACGATGGAGGTTGACAGAATAGACGTTGTTGCAATGCTGTCATTCCAAATGGATGAATGGGCGTAGCTACGCAAGCAGTACCGCGAAAGATGGTAATTGTGCGAGTGATACTCTACTGGATTTACCATAGGAATACTCATTCGGTGTTGGTTGTAAGTTTTATGTTTTCTTTGCTCAGCTAACTCGTGAAAATTCATGGCAGATGTGAATCACATCGCTAGAAAGCCGATGACAAATGTGTATGGAATTCTTCCCGAAGTGTGGACTGAGTATGCCTGGACATGTTAAATCCAAATTGATGTACGGGTTTATTTTATTCTTGACAGTAGCCTGCAATGTATAATTAAAATTTCCCACTATCAAGGTTCTCCAAGTGACTCAAGATCAAAGGATTCACAGGTCAACATTTGTCGAAACACACTGATAAGGTCCTACGCAGCCCGAGATTTTGTCAAGTGATCTCTGGGCAAAACCAATCCAAAGAGTGATGACAAGAGTAAAATAATCCATAGAATGAGAAAACCTATCCCTTCACATGGAGGTGAGTTGCGCACAAAGTTACTGCCCCACACCGCAGAAAAGATAACCAAATTTGTTCGACAAACACGACCACTTGCATACCAATTCGGTTGTCACTGGGAGCTCACCTGAAACCCAGCTCAGTTTCTCGTTTATGATACGGGATGAGCTACACAAAGGCCACCTCATGTTTCAGTTGGTACGGTATTTGAGGTATCTCAGTGTGTTTTCATAAGGGAAGCCACCAACGAGGTTGCTCATGGGGTCGTCAAATAGTTTTCCGCAACCTTGTGAGTAGCTTCAGCTGGCAACTTAATTTTACGCTGGAATTAGATGAACAACTGGCCTCACTGAAAGCGCAAAGGGTATTGATCACTTCAGTGTATGCACTTAAGGCTCCTGCAGTATTAAGTTCTAGATGACCACGGACACCACTGCTTAGTGTATCTGTAATATACAGCTCTGATTTCACGACTACGTTTGCGGATAAAGGCTTGAGCGAAACTCTCCTGTCATACCAATAGGTGCTTTATACAGTTTGAGCGTAGAAATGGACATTTTTAAAATTTCTTTCAAGCTCAAATGGTGAGATATTGATGGGCAGCCGCATTCCAGACTATCAAGACATTAGGTTTGTCATATGAAATGAAGTATTCAAGAACTACTTCAGTATCCGGATCTGATTCACGTTGTAGTCAGCGGGTGACCCACTAGGGATATCTAACTGTTGGTGAATAGTTGGACTGCTCTATCTAAATACTCATATTATCACAAAGCGTCCAGTGACTTTCAACCTGGAAGAGGGGGCGATTCTGACAAGGACACAGGACTGTGAATGGGACTAGAAGAGTTCGATCTGTGAAAGCCATTCATCCGCGACTCGTACAAGCAAACTTAGCTGTATGCACCAGGTGACCTCAACATCTAGTCTAAACTATATGACAGCTGCTTACAGAAACGATCATATCCCAATTAACTGAATGTGGGACGAAAAACGCTCAGCAGTTTGAAGGGGGCCAGCATGAACCAGCTGACCAATAGTTGGGTGGTTGGCTTCCCCGTGCCCTGGTGTCATCGAACTAATCGTGATTCGACAACGGTAATTCACTGTTGATTCGAGGATATCAGATCAGTCGGATTTAGTTCTTTAGGATAACAGAGACGATTATGAACAGAAAATAGGTACCTAAAGGCACGTCTACTTTTCGCTAGTTTGCGTAACTCTAGTGTTAGAACAAAGGAACCAGAATGGTGTTCTCATTGAATCGAACTAGGTGTCCAGACATGCATAGAGACTGCCAACCATTCGAGTGCGTATGCGGTTTGTTCGTTACCATGTTTAGATAAACCATATCTGGTTCGTACAGTGCTCTATAACTTTATCGAAGGCTTTCTGCGATTGGTATCGGATGTCCGTTTAAATCACGATCATTGTGAAATATCACTGCTTCAATCGATTGTCCTAAGTCGGATTATCGTGCAATTTCGCACTGAACTGCTTCACATAACTCCTGGAGTGAATGTTGCTTTGTAGTACAGCACTGCGTAGAACTACCGCGGCTCCGAGCACAATATAGCAAACACTAGTAACCTCAATGAAAGCTACCCTCCCGGATCTTCTGTGCGTAAAGTGGTCTCGAATTTCAGCAAACCCTGGCTATCTTGACAGCTGAACTGATCTTATAAACATGGAGTGACGCTATACCATTCAGACGCGTACTAAGTATCACTTACACTTTCCCTGTTAATTCTAAACGTGAAACGTACGCAGCATAAGAAATATGATAATAAACTGTGGAAGTACAGGAACAGACAGAACCCTACCTTTGAGTTCTTCATACCTGAGTATATTAGCGTATCGTGATGGGTCGTGGGATTCAACTAGCTTAGGGGTGGATAATTCTAGATGATAATTAAGACCTACTGGCTTAAGGAGGCAGCAAGGTCAGCCAGGAGCCTTAACTACTGATACTCGCAGAACCAAGATGCACGGCTGTCATGTTTGGTGGTGTTCGTGGTTATAGTTTGCCATCCAGCTTGGGCTTGTTTTCTGGGCTGTTTTCTGGTTAGGAGACGAAAATCCATCAAAAACCGCAGCTAAGTGAGGGAGCGAGGAAGAGTCTGATAATACGGACTGAAAAAACTGATTGATTTACACAGGAAATCCACAATGGAGTACCCCAAGGACCATCAGTTTACATTATTCATTGTCCTACAGTTGGCTAAACTAGACCCATTCCAATCTTTCGGATAATTTGAAAATCATAAAACCCACCTCCATCTGAACTCTAACGGTTGTGGACCGTATCTTTGTGAAGAGTATGTCCTGGTGTGACACAGTTCATGTTTTGTTACACTGTTTAGCCACGAACCAGCGTTTGTCCCCTATTGCATAGACCATATTTTGATCAACGGGTGTTTGTAATATCCAGTCAAACATCAAGTTTCCAGCAATCACGAACTGGCAGTAGGAGCAACATAGTGGATAATGTCACACTAGAATTTTAGTGTTCAAAAGTGACGCCTTAAGCGTGAAACGATGTTGATTTTGGATAAGGCGAGTGAGTGTTATTCGAAACAGCATTGCTTCAAACGGCATAGGCAATAAATTTCCAAATATCTGCAGTTCAGACGGACTGAATGTCTGAGAGCCATGTGAGAACTGGGTGTCAGAATCAGTTTGTTTGGATCAGGATACATCAATGCGGATAAATGCTTTCGACGAAGTTGTGTTTGGTCACATACATACTAGGTAGTGCCATGTAAACTTACAAATCAATTTTAAAGCGTGCAGACTCAAAAGCCCAATGGAATCTTTTACGATTTTGCTAAGACTATGGTGCGTAAACATGAGGTAGGGTGTCTTTTTGAGTGTGCCCGTGCATTTATGAATTAATCGTATTTCTAATCACCTCAGACGAATCCGACTATCCTAATCTCTCGTGTCATACTTTGGTAACAGCAGGAAGGTGTACCGAAGGAATCAACGGTTTACAAAACAAAGACGGGTCGAAGCTAATGAAGGATTATCCCCCTAAGTTAGACCAAAATCAACAAGCCAGTGTTAAGGCGTTCTGACCTTCTGTGGAGAATACTGAAATAAGTGATCACACAATCGTTCTGTTCCACGCGCAGGCTTTACGATCGCTTATGGATTACACTACCAATGAAGAGATGACACTCGTACAGGCCATTTTCAGTCAATCACTTGAGTTGTTATCGATTCATCTTTGGCATCTGGATTATTTAGCGTCGGGGTGACTATTCAGCACACAAAAGCGGACGACTACATAAGCTTAGCTTCACAAATGTGTATTTTCTCCATTACTCTTTCGGTGGTCTTATGTAAATTTGGGGGAACTGAAACACTACATGAACTGCAAAGTCTACACACGCGAATAATTATGGCTCATGTGCATTAAATGACGGCTACTGGATCTAGGGTGCAGGCTCATCATCTACGAGACAGCGACGACTGCGTGATCGATTGCTTATCCATATTGAGCAGAGAAACCTGGATAGGCCTGGAGCGTAGTACTCACAGATGTGAAAAGAGTAAACTTTGAATGGCCAGTTTTGTCAACCTACGTGAAGATGGCTGAAGCAGTCCAGATAATTACTAATCCCGTCGAAATAAGTTATATATGCCCAGACATTTATAGGATATCTGAATAATCCACTTCTATTTAGAAACAACATCCGAACAGTTATCGAATGCGTTGAACACGATGGGGTTTAACTGAGGATAGTGCAGTGCCTCGAATTTGCGCATGCATCTTTATAATTCGGAATTTGTTGCTTTCCTGTGCCAGCACCTAACCCTCTATGGTGTTCTGCCACCAGATGACGTTTCCAGTAGCTACGCAACCATCAGCCATACATTTCTCCTTGATGGATTCTAATGAGCACCCTCCAGATTGTGTGGTAATTTATCAGTCGTATCAGCGGCATACCGTTGAAACTGGGAGGATTGACTGGTTAGGCCAGCATCTTGGGGTGAAGTAATTGTTGGCTGTAGTTCGATGCCTGATCTGTAGAATTCACGTTCAGATAATTTTTGTTCTGGTAGGTTTGTACCAAAACGGGGAGCATTGGACCTGAGTTTCAATCTTACTGGAACTCATCAGGAGTGTATATTCTTGGCCGTGCTGGAGCCTGAACCTTAGACATTTGACATGCCAGGAAAGCGTATTACCAGTTGTCCACCAGAGCACACTGCACGCATTCTCTTTAACACATCTGAACAGACGAACGTTTTCACGCTTGAGGGATGTGACTGGTTAGTCCAGCTGACCGAACGACTACCCACATCGATTGCCAAGGATAGAAGAACTGTTCAAACGAGAGTGATGTGAACGTAAAATAATTATTTTCCGTTTATATACGCACGTAATCGTACTTGGCAATGCTGTTGGCCATCAGCAGGTCACCACATACTTACTGTCCGTATTATACCTTCAGATTCACACTGGCGGCAGAAGCTTGCACGTAAAACCACAACCGACTCCACTCAAATTGCTCAAGGCCTACCCACTATGCGCTGGCGTTAAGTGGAAACTTCACAGATCTGTGGAAGCAACTAACCTCGCACATACCGCCTAAGATGACTTATCGGACCACCTAAGGGACTAAGTACCAGTGTTCTAGATGCGTACTCACCTTTCTACGGTTTGCGGTAGAGATAAATTTTCAGTGTTGAGGGAAAACAGTAACTTATTTTTGCAAAAGTATTTGATTGGATTTTACGATGTCTGAATCCTTCGTTGTTCCTGCCTAAGTTGAGCGCTCGTAACTGAAACTTTAGCCGGCGGTAATTCCTCAAAAGTTAAGCGATAGCCCAGCGGTCATTTTGGGGTTTGTCTGGAAACACGGCTGCCGGTGTGCCGGTGATGGTTTTGGCAACAAGCCATGCATTTGAAAGTTTTGATGTTTATTTACTCTGTGTAGCAGTGAGTGCAGGCTGCTCCTAAAAGACACTGAAGTGAGTACACGTCAGCTTGTTTGCTTCACACTTTAAAACATGTATTCAGTAGATTTGTAGACAGTCAGACATACCTGTGGGGCATCCCAGGTGCGGGTGCATGGTCAAGCTTGACCAGGGCCACCAGGTTGCTCATTGTTCGTACTGTTGCACCGGAAACAAACGGCCATCCCATGAGACCACTGACCACTGGGAAGATGATTGTCAACAGGAACAAGTCCATGACAAACACGTTGGGTTTGACTGCCTTGTTCTTCATGGCTGTGATGCTAGAGGACAACAGAAAGCCCTTTCGAATGGGTTAGGTTGGAGCACGAATAACATTCATTAGGACGGGTGAATACTCTTGTTCTTTTATGATGCACATATTTGTATGAGTTATCGTTATTGGTCCAACAAACCATTAAATTGTGCATGCACTTGAACTACCTATGAACAGTCCGACCGTTTAGCACAAAATAATCGACAAACTGATGAGCAGGGTTTAAAATTAAACAAGATGATCCAGTCCAAGTGTTGTAGATTCTCTAAATGCCCAGCCAACCGTGGTCACCAACTTTATTTAGGCTTATAAGGAAGATCCAGATTAAAACCACACAGTGATACCTATCCCGAGGTTTGTGATCATTCTGCCATAACGTTTCACGATCAATGAATAGCATGAACGCAAGTTTTTATTGCGATTTCACACCACTTTGCTTCATCCAGCGCAGCGAATTAAATGCCATTCTTGAGAGAAAAGCTGGGAAATAATGTTGGGAAAAGGTTTCAGGGCTGGAATCGATGTGATTGAATTTATGTGCGAATTGCAGGCTGTCAAGAAACACCCTTCGGTCGAGAGTAGATGGGCCGATAAACACCATCATCATCATACAAATAAATAAGTACCAAAATAATTTGTAAACAAGTGAATACTCATCATTCTTGAACAATTTTCAGTCTTACAAGCTAGCAGTGTGCGGTTAATTTTTTCGTAGCGGTTAAAAAATACCGTATGTGCGATTGGATATTTTTGGAGTCCAGAAGAGATAAATGTGCGTTGAAACAAATAGCCTGGATGCAAGAGTACCAGCATGTTCGTGAGGGTAAATGATCTTGCAGAAAGCATTCTACCCCATCTCGTTTTTGTTAGCGGGAGCATACAAATGTATCTGTCCCTAATGGTTGGGAGGATGAGGGAAAGCCAAACGTGAAACCAGCTGCGGACCAGCCGTTGACTTATCCAGACGATAACCTAACAACTGGTGAATAGTCAGAAACCGTTACCCAGATTTCCTCTCGGCGGGCCCAACAACCAGAAGATTATAGGCTTGAAGTTGCTCGGACGTTTTAGTACGGGTATGTTTATATTATGAGAAAGTTTAGGCACCCGAACACACTCGTTCTTCTTAGAACCCATAAGGTATGTACCGATAGATTAGTCACGTGTCCCGTGTGGTAACAAGTTCGGGCTTCGCTCCCCCGGCCACCTGTCTACCAACCAGCTTACCAGGTTAGTGAATTACATGCCCTTGAAACCCGGTGATCATCTCGAAAGAATAGTCTGACAAGTGAACAGAAATCGGATGTTTGTCTGAGTGGATAAACAGCTGAATCAAACCAATATTCAGACAAGTGAAAACCCTTACAAAATACTCAAGAAACAGAACTGAGGTCATATGAATGAAGCTAGTCGTCTAATATTAACCAAAAGTGTCCAGTAACAACAAGCAACACTTTAAAGGAGTTAAAGATAAAAGAACAAGCGCAGACTGTGTATAAATCATATGAGAACGAAGCTCTCAATTAGAGACTTCCTGGATCACATTCTGAGAGTAAAAACTGGCAAGAGTTCACCAGGCTTATAAGTAACACTGTTAAGCACCATTTTATTTTCGACTGTGGAAACTAGATAAAATATGTTCGTTTTGCTTACCCATTCAGAGCAGCCTCGGTGAATACGATGATCGACATTGTGAAACCGATTGCGAAACCGACTCCATGTACCAGTCCCACTGCATTGACTGGATACAGGTTTAACAGGTCGTAGTTAGGAAAATTAACCCACCGGGAAACGTTGATTTGATTCGACGGAGGAATGTTGACCATGGGCAATTCAAACCCCAAGAAGAAGATTTGATTCAGCACGGCTATTAGCACCATACCTAACGGAACATTGAGTGCTCCGAGGAGTTTTCGAATCTGTCAGGGGATCACAACAACAAACAGAGATGGAATCAGAAAACCTGAAGCACAAAGTTGACAAGTGGTGCACTGCAGGACGAACCAACATGAAACGGTCCTGATAGTCACCTGTCTTCCGTTTTTGACTCCAAAACGCTTGAGCGACAACCTTGCTCAGGGTGACAACAAATAACTTTTAGGTACAAGGATTCACTACGATCATAAATAGTTTGTCTAACGTAATGTATTTCTGTCACGCTTCAGAAATATGGCCTGTTGCCTCAGAACAGTGGTATTCACGAGACGTGATGCAACGTCGGTATCCCATAACTTGACGTTCAATGGTCCCTGACAAGGGAAAGTGGTCGTGATCAAGTAACGCAAATACTTGAATCTTGCCGTACACCATACACGACGCTTACTCAACAAGAAAGGTAAGGTTGGGCAACAGTTATAAAAGATGCGAAACCTCGTTTGGTGCGGTTGATTGTATGCACGCATGATAGACACGCTCCCGAAAGCTAAACGTACGGGCTGGTTGGCATGGCAGCGTTCTGTACAGTAGTAATAAAAGAACCGGTTTGTTCATATTTCTGTGGAAATTTTCAACCAACTTAATGAGCGTGCCAAAAAAGCATCCATCTGTATAGATTTCTGGCGAAATGTGTGAGACCTTCAGATAGACGGCATCTGCCTTTGCTTTGCTTGGAGTCTGGTGATGTCAAAAATGGCATACCAGACGTGACGCAACATGTTCTGGTCATGTAAGTGCTGCGATGTGAAAACAACAATAGTTGCAGGATCGAGCACGTGACTTTCACTATTTTATTTTTTCTTAGGTAGGTCTTGTGTTGCCAGACTGATTAGTTGTGCACTAGTTGAACCAACTGGTTCAGCGGAATACGGTCAGTGGAACTGATGTTGAAAGATCCTTAGGGTCATCGACGTCAGGATGTCCTTCGTACGTTGAACGGTTATCGGTTAGTGAAGGAGGCCTCGAATTTGGAGCTCTATTGATGGAGATAAGTTACCAGCGAATGGGTGCGTTGGTTCAAGAATTACTCTGGGTAGCTAGTATCACGCAATGTCTTCGTGATCATCTAAATTGACGGTTGTGGCCTCAGTTGAGCAGACGCTGTGCACCATTACAGTTCGCAATTTCACCTCATGCCGCAGGTGCGCTGGAATAGTTCAAGTACTGATCAGCCTAAGGTGGCTCGCGGTGTGAAGTGCGAGGGACTGGAAGATCGCTAAATAGTGTGGGCGAAAATATCCGAGAGTGAACACAAAAGTTATATTTCAGTTCATGCTGAGTGAGTGGTGTTTGGAAGTGAAATAATTAATCAAGTGAGTATGAGAAGACGGATGTGACAATGACAGCCACTAGCTAATTTCTGAAACTTGTTGGCTTCAACTCACATCGCAGACATGAACATCGTGTCATTTATCGAGTGACCTTTTGTTAGTACGTTATTCTCAGAGACCAAAGTTTGGACACATTACAGTCGGCTACCGTCTGGTTTTACGACCCAGATTTGTACAAGCAAAATGGGTTTACTGCTGTGGTCTAAGAGACTTTCAGAACCACAGTGTTACGCATTGTTTAACAGATAATCAACAGCCTGTCGTATGGTACCTATCACTCAACCCATTACGAGTTATGTCGCCAAACTAGGCGACATGGTGGCTCATAGGAATGACACACGATCAATTTGTCATCTGAGGGTTATTCGGTTAGGGCACTTTGAGTAAATAAATGCACTTTGAATGTGGGCATATTTGGGCAATCCTATCAATATGTTCGTGGTTGGCCGTATTTAATTTCTTGATGATGTTTTTACCAAAAAGGTTCCAGATGGAGTTGCTTCTCTATCGAGCAGCCCGAAACGTCAGATAATGAGACCTTATTCCACTACGCTGTATTTTGGCTTTAAGCTGTTCACGTTGCATACCACATGGCGCTCAATCTCTCTAACCAGATCGGAAACCAGTTTGACCCGGAATTCCTAGACAAAAAAGTACTGCAAGTTGAACAAACAGTTCTCAATAAAACTTGTCTGTGTTGCTTTTTTCTGACTGAAAGTAGTGATCTTTTCGGGACAGAGCGACCGGGTATTTTAGGGAGGACACAATTTAGGAACAGACAAGCTGGGACAAGCAGGGCACAATTCACGGAGGTATAACAATGTCGCTATACGGGGTGATGAATCAGAAGAGCTTAGTGTATGAACCAAAGGATAAGGATACGAAGACCATAAACTTATGGAAGATAGCTCCCACCATGCGCCACATAATAAAAACCCAGCCGATCAGCCATTGAACAGGCCTCATTGTTCCAGAAAGGGAAGTTTGAAAAAAGATTTCTCTGGACATATCCAGACTTACTATGCGACGGAAATAGTTTCCTCCCTTTATCCGTGCCAGAATTAGACAGAATTGAAGTTTGATGAAGGCGAGGAATAGAGTGGCGCCCGCGATGGCCATACGGGTCTTGTAGGAGAGTTGTGACGCAACGTCCGTAGATGATGGGGATTCATATGGGATTAACTGAATTGGAGCAAGCGTTGATCATTGTATGAGGTTCTGTTTGATGCGAACAAGCTGAAATGCATGCCTGCACCTTCGGAATTCATCCGATAGTTCACGGGATGGTGTGTATACCAAAACAGCTTTGCTGTATTTGAGTAAAAATATTTAGAAAAAAAGGCCAGCTCTGTTTCACGCATACTGTTGCCGGACACTAGAAGGCCGTGTATCTTATAGTAGATGTTGGATAAACCATAGCAGATAACCAACAGTAGATGAACACTACACGATGCATTCGCTGGTGGAAGCTGGTTAGTTAGGCCGATGAAAATCGCACACACACAGCTGAAACCGTCGAGCAATCAAATCAAGCTCGACCATTACAGGTTCATAACAAAGAACTAACGTACAGAAGAATCAAAGAGGCTCTCTAACAGGTTGCTTTTCCTTGATCATGTTGTAATAGAACGATTGAAAACTGCCCATCATATTAACGTCTTGAATGTGCCGTGCTACTTGAGATTTCGGTGTTGGTATTTTGGTTAATTCAAGGTTACTGTGTTGAGTTGTTTGCGGGTGGGACATTCTGCTCATATGTAACTGGTCATTTATTGATGTCAACTTGAGCCTAAAGTCAACTTATATTGTGGCTGAACTGTGGAAACGAATAAAAGTCGGGGGCGGGGGAAATTGTTGCAGAGGGTGCTAAACGAGGACCAATTTCCCACTTATTTCCAAAGGACGACAGAAACCTGCGGTTCAAGATTACCCCTGTTCGCTACTAGAGATTCAAGATAAGTGTTAGTTCAGTAGTCTATTGGTGTAATGGTGATACTATTGATGGGGGAGGCATGCAAGCAATATGTTTTGTCGTAAATCTGCTTCGCGTCTCTTGAGAAGTGAGATCTATTACGGAATTTGTGGAGTCGCTTTGTAGCATTTGCTTGAATTTGAGCAACGGTCACTGAATATTCAGAAACGTTCAAGAAGCCGCGTTCAAAGAGAGGATGGACATTCAGTTTTTGTAAACAAGATGCCTATGAGAGTTTCGCTTCTCTGTCCAATAGTCTGTAACCGGTTAGTTGGCATTTTCTAATAAATGACTCCGCAGCGAAGGCATTCTTCCTTTCACTGGTAGTAATTACAATTTGAGGATTTTTTGATATCCTGTGTTTATCCTGTCTATCAATAGGTCATGTCCGATGACAACAAGTTACAGGATGCATCCGATAGATTCGTCGTGCTCTGTTGGTTTTTATATTCTCCAAATGAGTACATATTTGCAGTTGTGTCCGTTTGTCCTACCCCATTCTCCATTCCTACAGTTGTCATTGTTCTTTATTATCCTGATGTATTGACATCTGCAACACTCGAGTGGGCTCAGCATCTTGGATCGGAATTGCACTGCTGAGACTCAAAATGGACCATCCATCACAGTGATAATCAGCCACTGCTGGCAGGTGAGTCGATAGTTTTTGCGCTTGGCAGACAAACTCGAACTGTGGTCATTAGCGAACAAGGAGGAGGAAAATATAGCTGACCATAACCATAAAACGAAAGCTTAATAATAGCCAAGCAGTCGTAAGTTCCTTTAGCCTGGATATGTGCTACATAAGTGTAACACGTTCGAACAAACGATATCCTATATGAGACTCGGCGTCGATCTACCGAGCAAGCAACGTCGAGTGGTGCCAACTGGAGTCTATTGATGTTTCCAGAGGTGAAGAAGCAGGCTGAAGGTAAAGCCATTGCCAATATGGTGTTTGTCTGCTGAGGCATTAATCCCCATCCTGAACCAATGAATGTTTATTGTATGGTTTTGTAGGATACAAAAGTTCTCGCTATAATGCTAGACCCATGGGAATGTTGCTTAGGAGCGATCCTGAAGGCAGATCCAAGACAACGGTAGGCGTCAAACATTATATTCCAATGAGATTATAAATCACTGGATCTTTCCATAAAATCGTACGCGGCTACAACCAGCAAAGTCCTTACTAAGGCTTACATGCATTGTTCATGGTTGGATTTGGATCATAAAGCACCAGGTTACTTAAAAACACATAAATCCAGCCGCCTAATTCTGTGCGCCACCCTGACGAGGCGCACCTGGAATTAAACTCGATTTTTGCCTCATTGTCTGTTAGATCAAAGATGATTTGCAGAGATCCTCCATGCCTCGTATAAGCTTTCATGGATGCTCGCTAACATGCAAGCTAATCTGTAGGTGGCTGACCGCGATCCGCATACAACTAGGAGCCTATTTGCATAACGAAGCTTTGCACTTACCCGGAACATTGTGAATAATGCCTTGAGAAGGAAGAAGAATGCAATAAAGGCGTTGAAAACCTCTTCTACCGAACGTCGGATTTGATTGGCCAGCACGGATGCGTTGAGTGTGATGAAGAAAAAACCGCAAATAGCACAGTATATGGATGTCCAGAAGCGGAGTTGCATGAGCGGTACTCCGGCAGTCTTTGCTATCTGAGAGAAAAGTTGATGAAGAACAGTGTGGGGTGGGACAGCGTAGAATGAAGCGTACCAATAAGCAAATAATAACGGCTTTTCTGACAAACTAAACCGGCCGCACTAAGCTCGGTAAATACGCCAAAAGACGACTGGTCAACAGTCTGAAACACAAAGACATTTTGGTCGTCAGAAGGGCGTGGTAAAAACTAGGCCTTAGAATACTAGCGGCATTTTTGAAACCTTTCTTGCACCGGTAAGCTGCAAATGCACAGTTGTTGAGGCCTGGAGAATGTGTTGACTGAACTCTCAAGATCGAAGTTTGGTCACATGAGTTATTGCCTTAAAACAAGCTGGTGCCAAGATGAAAGAGAAAATGTTAGTGAGGACGAAGTATCACAATTCAGTGTTAAGTCAGTAGGACAGTGGAATTTTCAGCTAGTTTAAATGTAGCCTCAACACGGAGTGAAACGTGTTGTTTTGCCTAAAGAGCTGCGTGTTTCAGTCAGAGGGATATGGTTGCGTTGTAAAGCATGCGCTGTTCTCCCAAACGCTAATTTGCCCGTCCAAGTCATCGGAAGAAAAAGGGGCTGAACCCTGCCTGTTAACATATGAAATTGCATCATTAACAGTACTAGATAGGTTATTGTTAATCAGCTCCTTTTATGCGGTTTTAACGATTCATCCACCTTGAATACCATAACAGGTAGCCAGTAACTATTTTGTAGTCTTGATGCGTCATTTCTGTGGAAATACAGCAACATCTCTCATTCCCTTTAAAACTACTGGGCTATATCTGGATTCTTCTACTTCTGGTTCACATTTTCAAGCGGACGCCCTAGTGTTCCAGTCGTATAGTCGGCATTCATTGAATCGATGGTTCTGTTTGAACAAGAAGATAATGGAGTACGTCTGAACGACAGCTCCTTTGATTGAAAATATTGTAACTCGTAAACGTTTGCGACCTTTCTTTCTGAGGAACCAAAACTTTTGGCATCGGTAAACTGAGAAGAGACTGGTTGACAAGATTATTCCATTGCGACGGCCAGTTACGGCCAACGACTCATAGAAAACAAATAACTGACCAACAAAATGACAACTCCTCGTAAAAGCATGATCATCAATGGAAGATACAGGTGTCCCAGAGAGCATGCTGGACTGTAACCTATAGAGACGAATTTAGCACACCGAGAAGAATGAACAAAAATGAGTGATGAGTGCCCGAGGATATCTTCATTGCTTACTCTCTGTGGGTTTATCTAAAATCACTAGACTAAGCTAATGCTTGAGGTGGACGTTGGAAGAAAGAATGGAACGGGTCCGAATAGTATTCACTCGTTGCCTCTCACAGACAGCATTAGGCACATGTATTACGGATCATTTCATATTCCAAATTTGTCCTGAGCACCTCCTAGTTTAGACACTCCAGCCTCAAACAAAGACACTTCTGTTTCATATATGGTTAGTAAACCAAGCAGCAACGTTCGACAGACGCAGATTAATGGTTTTCACGTCACCAACCGTCCTTTATTATACCAATATTCCATTCGGTTACTTCGAATCAAAAACCGTCATCACACTGTCGCTTTACATCATCAGTCATACTTCTCACTTATGCTAGTCACTTTGAAATCTGAAGAAAACAATCGTATTAAAATATAGAGCTTCACACCTCATTAAGTTAGGAAACGGTTTGTAGATGGAGCAGTTTTTAAAGCGAACTGTATATCATTTTCAGGAGTACGGACCTCTTAATGACGAGGCATTCCGTGTTTGGCACCGAAGCACGTTTAACACACGCGAGTACATCCGCCAAATGTATCTCGTGATTAGGGTGTTTTTCAGGATTGAAAAGTGTTTGGATATATGATTCTGTATCTACATAAACGCTTATAGTACAGACTTGGTGCGAAACGCGCATAATCCCAACTAATTGAGTAACTCGTTGCTTTTCACAATGTATATTTAGCGCTTCCTTTGTTTCTCCTGCTGTCGGATTTGTGCCACGGTTCCTTTTCTGTTTGGCGCTCGTATTGTCTTTGTGGTCCTTTAAACATTCGCGCCCGTGTACGCACACACACATGTACTTATGCACACGTATGCTGGTTTACTCAGTGTGATTTTCATTCAGATCAGAACTCCATTGTGAATTTACTGTAGTTTGACTGCCGTCTGCTGTGTGGGCTTTTTTGCTGCCACTGGTGTACGATGTATACCATTAAGAGGATTTATTGGTCTCCTGGGCATGTTCCTTCTTCCCGGTCCAATCGTCAAAGTGTTTCATGAGAAATTCAATCATGTACGTATGAAAAATTCAAAAACGTTCCTCACTCTCGGGTTTCCGATTCCTGGGACTTTTCTGTTTTTTAGAGTTACCCTATTTATCGTACAGGAATGGCGTAAAGGGTTATGTGTATAGTGAACGGTAGTGTCATCATTTTAGACCAAGTGTTGCACTTACAATCATCTTAAATGTACTGGGTGGTCACAGAAAAACCCTAATCACGCCATTCTTTGGTATCGCAGTGCATGGGCATTTATTGGTTATTTTGGGACTAGTTCTCATCCACGGAGAAATATTCATTGTAGCCAGACAGGTGAATCAGACAAGCTTTGATTGAAATTTCATGCTGTGACATTCGTCTATGCTTGAATGCGCGAAAGCGCTGCACAAATGTTTAACCCGCCTTTAGACCCACCAGAATTTCATACCTCGAACCTCCGAGGTAGTCGGTAACCTTCCAGTTAGTATCAGAACCATTCGCCACCCGGTCATGACTGGCTGATCAGTATTGTAGATAACTTACACCTTGGCCAGATATAGCGTCTGTCATTCTTCAGCCGCACAGTTCACATCACTGTGTTCGATATTGATCCGTTTTGCGAGAGACAAGCTCTCAAGTGAAGGGTACAAGCGACTTGTGGGACATTTCTTCCTGAGCAGATTACTTGTATTTTGCGGATAGTGAGAAGAGCTTGTTGTTTCCGCTGAGATTGCATCATGTCGGATAGTCGAGAGGCACCTACAAATCAGACAACTGCTTTCAGTTGTTCGTCGACCGGTAATATGTGGAGCAATTATTTATCCGCATCAGCGTAGCCGGAAACATAATTTATTTAAGGCACGTCTGTCTGCTGGAGCAAATCTCTCTGTTTAGGGGTGCGCAGCTTGACTATCTTCCGAATGAATTAAAGTGAAAAGAGCGCCATTGAGCAAAGTAACGCTTCTTTCTTCACAGGAAGAAAACCTGGTAGGCCTTTTTTATGGGTGTAAATACTAGTCGACCGCGAGCATTTTGGAATCATACCGGAACCCTACGGTTTTCCAGGAAGATATGAAGTGACGATTTTTCGTGATCTCATAAATTTAAATTGGACGTTTGTCTTCAGGAATTCGTAAAGAATAGAGTCAATGTTCACAACACAGTCTCCTGTCATTTTGTTCGCGTATGTGAAAAGAAGCAGAAATTTGACTAGATTTAAAGGAAGACAAACTACTGTGTTTGTTATCCTATTCTACACTAAAAATAATCAATAGATAGGGCGAAATGTGACGTGCTGCAGTTCAATATCTCAAGTTCGATGCTCTGTCTGAGTTAAAACCATCAGCTGCTCTGCGGCCAGAACAGTCGCTTTTTGCGGAATCTTTGAACGTAAGGACCTAGCAAGATCGACCAGCTATTTTGTTTGTTGTTCAGGTATAACAGGGAACTTCCCCGGAGACATTCCTTGTCACTGTCAATTGTACACACTATGTTATTTCTTGGAACTGTAGGAGTGCGATTTCTGAGGTTACATTGAACACGGGTACCTGGCTAAAGGTACAGGATTGACAGTCGTCATCTGAGACCTTCACACAGCATATATGTGGTACTGATCTGATTAGTGAGATCGTTATTTGACAACAAACTGGGGCAAACCGGTTGAACATTTTTGCGTTTGGTGATAAGTACACTCAGTGTCTGCTGCGGTTGTGACCTACATTACAGGACTGGCAGTCCAGCAATTACAAATGACCTAGTGTAGCGTACGCGAAATACACTCATTTGCAAACAATTCTGGTTATGCGGGAGACCCACTCGGAACCCAGCTGAATCTCTCGTTTATGGTGTTTTCAAGCAACTGAATTTGCTGCACCAAGCCGCCTCATGTTTCAGTTGCTACGTTATTCGAGATATGGTGCTACATGTATAGACGTAATACACCACTGATAAGGTTGCTGAAAATTCCTCAACAGACTGCGATTGATCTCGCCTTGTTCGGAGCTCGTCAGATAGGCATAACCCCCGAGTTACCTTCAACCCCAACTGCATGAAATTAACAAAATACACTTATTTGCAAGCAACTTTTGTTTTGAGACTCACCTGGAATCCAGCTGAAACTCTTGTTTATGAGGTTCAAGTAGAGCATAAGGTTGATGAAAACTCGGAGACTGCGCCACGTGAACAAAACCGGTCGTGGGCTTTCAAAAAATTCTCAGTAACCCTATGAGTAGCGTATTACTTCTATACCAATACAGCGTTGTTAATAGAAGGTCAAATTCCGGTAAGGCGTAGGTGCGGTCAAACAAGGCTACGGTATAGTCATATCATGTCCACTGAGTGCAAGGTTAAGTAAAGCTGAATGAACAGTGTCAAAGCATAAACATACCGAAGCAAGGGAGGTCTCCAAAATGAACATAGGACCCGTAATACCAATAAATGCCAGCGGTTGTCCAGCGAATAATGTGAACACAATGAGGTAGACTCCAGTCGAAACCAGCGTGACACTCACAGTGAATCCTTTATCAACTTGAGAATCTGAAGGGGTAGGGGGTAAACAGAGAAATCAAAGTCATACAGTTTCAAACACCTGTCTTTGTATTCGACATAAAATCCCTCTAAGAGAGCCTTTTCCAGCAGGAACTTTCCCTCTGGGGATTCTCATGGACCATCATAAGTAAAGAAATGTAATGCACCCAGTCGGGGAAAAGCCACTCTTCAGCACTATCTGACTGTGAGGTTCTCCATAGAAGGAATGGGTATCCACCGCAAAAGTGGCTTTTCTGTCAGCAGCCTCAGTCTTTGCAGTACCTAGTCTACTGTTGACAGAGTTGGACGGTTGTGAAACGGAGTTGCAAGAGATTCACGTCGCCCGGCGAATAATTAATAAGCTCCACTTAGTCGTGCAAATATACAGTGCCGGCTTTTTACCACACTGTGTCTGCAAGGCATATTTTGGGCACATGTGGTCTGAATGTCACACAGAGAAGCAAAAATACAAACTAACTGGACAAAACGAAAGGCTTATTCAGGACGGTGAAGGATTACAAGTGTATGCGAGTACATGTACTTGCACGCATAAATATCTGAGTGCATTACTTGAAAACATTTACTTTTGGGGTGTGCATTGATTGCAGTGGCCACAACTCAGGTTCATCCCGATCCAGTAGCTCATTTAAAAAACTGAGTACAGTAGTATCGAGAATTTGATCAAATCTAAAGTAGCCATCATCCAGCTGAAGTACTAAAACTAAACATCCGAAACCTTGCCAGTGGAATACTTCGGGGTGGTTCAATGTTTAGGGTGATGGCGAAAAATTCTTGGTTCCTACCTGGCCTCTGCATCCCGAGTGCCTCTGTCTAGGCTTGAATAAACTTGAAGAATATTACCCTCGTGATTCCTTTGGGTGGCATGGCAGCTGAACCATTGTCTGTATTATGTTCCTTGTGGTCGTAATAACACACAAAAGTTGGTCACAAATTTTACTTTTACCTAGTCATACGGGTCAAATGGAAGAGAGTTTTCGATATGCAAGAACACGAGAGGGGTATTGCGGAAAGGGGGACTCCGGAATATGCTTTAAGTATGAGGTGACTGACTGAGCCATGTGCTGTCCGACTAGAAGTCACATCGGAGGGACGTAGTCTACAATCTGCGATGAACAGTTTGTAGTATTGGCACTAAAATGATGTGGAAAATTGCTTTTAGGCTCTCGATTTTCGATGGATTACCAATTGAGTACAGTTTTGATGAGAACGGAATCACGAAAGGATGCGGAAGCAGACGAACGATCTCTAACCCCAAAATGAGAGAAATAATTCAGAGCTGCGCGGATTCGTGGTTTATCAAGTAGAAGACTACCGTTTGGTGTGGAGTAGTTGTGTTCTCAAAAGAGGTAGTCCATTTTTAGGACTACTTTATCCTGTGATGATCGAGATGCGCTTTAGGGGATGAATGCCAACAGAAAAAGAGGATAAACGGGCAGGGGTTTGGGATCCGATGGGTAGATACATAAAGGGCATGAAATGGTGAAGTGAGCTGGGAATACGGATGGACTTGGGAGTCGTGAAACACGACTTCCGTCATCACGAGTAGGAAGAGAGATGATCTGTGGCCAGAGGTTAATGACATTGGCGGAAATGGCCCAGTCGCGCAGTAAAGGGCGTTCATTCATCAAAGCTATCGTCTTCAAAGCGTAGCTCCCCAATTTCTGGACAAACTGAACATGCCTTCGCCTCCAAGGCTTGATGTTTTATTCCACTTTCCCATTTCCTGGTGATCGAAACTGTAGCGGCTGGAACCAATGTGCCTATGGCACACAATCTATAGCTGATAAATTGATTGAATCGAATGGGCAGATAGCTGTTACGATTGCACCACCCACCTAAATCACACAAAAGAAGGGTTTCCTTAGTTTTAATCCTGTCGATGGCACACACTTATCAGCGCAGACAGACGAAGTAATGGTCCACAAACTGGAGACAGTGTACGACCATCCAGTGAGAGACAACTTGGGAATAATTGCAATTTCGTTGAACCAGCAGTGCAGGATCGATATTGGGCGAGTTTAGATATCACATAAATGTTATTCTCTATGAAGCCGAAGAATTCATGTATTTTTGTTCACACCAACAATGTTAACCATCAAATACCCTCGAACAACCAAAACATCTGCACATAGGATGTCAGTTTGAGCTTTCGAACAGACTGACGCTGTCGCCACGGGCAGCTCAGTCTATCATGCCGCAAAAAATTTAATAATGTCTAACTGAGAAATTCGAATGGGAGAGCTGATTGGACGGACTTGGTTCTACAAAACCTAAGTAAACTATATCTCAATGTTTACCGAATCAATACGGCAAACAATGAAGTCGTTCACGGCACTGAACACCGCTCAATCAAATATCAAATTAACACTTAGGCACGGAGAAATCGGTAGTAATATCCTTCTGGATATCTACCTGGCTCTACGAGACGATGGAACATTTTTACGTCAGTTCGCTGGGACCAGCCAGAGCCATCATTTCCTTAATTTTCGTCGACATGCCATAAAATGAATTCGATTAGGACAGTATATGACAGGGGGAGGGAAAATCCTCCATTAAACATATCACGGATGCTGACCTTTTGTGTCTGGATTGGATAGTTCACCCAAATGGTCACCCAGCACAATTTGTAAAGAAACACACCATTCCTCGGATGAAGAAAATATGGGTATATTCAACTGCAAAAGCAGAAATCTTCGCAAATTATAAATTTAAGCGGAGTGACATTCATCAGCTGATGGAAAGTGAATCTCAGTAAAGGTAACTATGGCAGTGCCAAACAGTTGTAACCTCATCTTCTCTCTTGAAGTAAAATTCCAGTACCTCTGTAAGTCAGCCCCAATCTCGTTACCGTTTTACTAGCAGGTACTGGGGCACCTGCTCTGACAGGACTTTGAGGTGACTTTGACTTGGCAGGTGGAACACAGTCCTACTTTGATGCAGTAACACATGAGTCAATCCGTCCGTCTACGATTAAGCACAAATTCGAAACCAAAGACAATTGTATATTCGAGTCTGGCAGCTTCTTTTCACATCGTGCACAGAACCAAGAATACCATAGAGCTTCGTTTTTGCGTATGCACTGTTACACCGAAAGGTGGAAACTCGGACTGTGTAATTGGAAGGGATCGGTCGTATTGTTGGCTTGTTTTTGACATATCGATGATGGGGACTTTTTTCCGTTATATTTGTTTATCTGATATTGCTCCTCATTGCATATTCGGAAAGATAGCGAAATTCATTCAGTGTATTTAGGCATTTAGCTTGGGGATGCTCCCGGTCGTCTCACAAGCGGACGGATGAGGTGTAATGGCATCGTTTTTGAAGGTATGGATAGATAAGTCATTGGTTGAAAATGGTTGTTCGCGGTATTGCTGCGGTTAGTTTCTCCTTCTCCCTATTTACTCGCTTCAGGCATACAAAGAAACACTGTTTTCCCCAAAAAGAAAACAAGATTTCCAAGTCAGTGAACACAAACACTTCAGCTTATAATAAATGAGCGTTTTGCGGTGAACGTTTCGGCACACCGATGACGGCGCAATGCTGTTCAGTGTGGATTAAAAGCGAATCGCGAACGGAAGGGCGTTCACAACTTGGTGGTCGAGATTTCACGCTATGGGATCTTACTGGCACAAATTTTGTGGCAGTGACTGCTGTCTAGATTCACTGTCAGCATTGGTCCCGTTGGTGTAATTGATGAGTTTATTCGCCTAGAGAGTTGCACTGTATTCGTTGAGGAAGCTAGGTCTGTGTCTATTAGCCTGAAGCACTTTTGTCTCTGACGTGAGGTAGCCCGCAGCGTAAAACCACGTTTTCCTGTGTCAGTGGGTTGGAAAGTTTTCATATGATCCCATATCGTGTTTTGCCTCGGGTAACTATAACAAGCCTAGATCAAGATTCTATCATGATCTCGAGTCAATCAGCAAGTGAAATCAACCGGGCTGACAAAAATTCGTTCAATTTCTGACGGTTGCCGATTTATTACGCGTGATAGATTCGTAACCGAAAAACCGAAATTTGAATCTTGTTCTGTTCACTGTGTCTTTTCATAAAGCTTTTGATCGAAATACCGGTCACGGCGCTTGGAGTTATGCAGTCAGCCGAAAACGTCAGTGATTCGGATATCTATGAGGAAAACCATTGTTCAATTTTGGTGAAACCAGTGAATTGAAAAAGAGCTAGCTCTAGCGTCTGCCACCAGAAACTTGCGACCCTATTTGAGGCTTTGGCAAACCACTTATATTTTCAAAGATTCGGCAAACTCATTTGCACAGATGCGATAGTTCAGGTTCGTCCAAACTTCGCTGATGGAGCACCTGTGATAAGAAGAGCACCTTTGAGTGCGAAGTTGTTTAATGAGGAACATGAGCTTAACCGTTACAAGCCATCAGAAACGAAATTAGAATTTTTCAAAGGTGAACATCCTCAGCGTTTTCTTGAAGTTTCCTGCACGTTGTTTGGATGACAAAACAAAAGTGAACTGAACTGCAAAGCGGTTTAATAACTTCTGCTTTAGGAACTGCGCTTTGACACATGACCCAGCACTACTGGCATGTTTTTTTAATGATATACACCCTTGCACTAGTGATACACGAATTTTAGATTTTGGGGATACAAATCCAGGTACAGTCAAGGGGATGTGTACTGTTGATGAAATATAGTAAACATCAAACTATTTCAGTCCTTCCTGTATTGCAGCCATCTACAGCTATTCAGTATTTATCGTACAGCGTTCAATTACGTATGCCCACTGACCAAAAGAGGATGGTCGGACGGTGGCTGTTTGCTGTGGCCATGCTTCTGATTTCCATGAGACAAAGGTGATTATGAACACCAGTCAGTATTGGGGTCCGGAATTTGATTCCACCGGCAGAAAACTGTACTCCAACACATTCGAATAATGCACAATGAAGACGGCAAACCAAGCTCTGGGTCTTCTTTCCCAATGACCACTTTTTTCAGTACGGTCGTCAGACAGAGAGCTGACCATGAGAAAACAACCTTTATCGAATACATAACTTTTATTACCTCCCAACAGTGATTCATCCAGGAAATTTTTATCTTCTTTACGGGCTGATGCTAAGGTGTTGGCTTTGTACTGAAGTCTACCTGTGCCAAGTCTAATAGGCTTGAATTAGTGGGATGTGTTTCCTAAGTCGTGCTAGATGTAGTGAATAAGGTGTACTACATTTTTAAGCAAAGTGGCATATCATCTTTGCCTTTGAACAATTTTCTTGATTCTTGTGTTCTTCTTCTTACCGACTGCGGCACGTACACGGTTCGATCACGTGAGAAAAAAATTAACCCTACTGGAACTGCCCTAAAAACTTGTGCGGAAAATAACATTGATCGCAGTAAATTATTACTGCCTCGTCATGACAAGTTTGTCTATTCGAAGTACTGCCAAAACGCCACGACATCCCAGACTGGTAATAGACTTTTGAACTCACCGTAAATTGCCCTTACAATATTCCAAATGGACTTTCTGTTGGTCGGACTTGAAGAATTTCGTCAGAGTTGAGTTCTGTGAACTAAGTAGCAATGTTATATCCCTCCAAAATTGACGTTATGATGGAGTTTCAAGTTAAGGTAAGAAAGCAACACCGGGTGATCGCAACCGATATTTTCTGAATGATCGACTGCCCGGTTGCCTCTCTGTTGTGTTCCAGGGTATTCATTATATTAGACTTTATCGCATGGAAAGGAGTCAAATGCGACCGATAGCTTTCGATAGGCATGGGATGCCTGAATACATTTCAGAGCTTTGGGGCGTGACTCTCTGTGTGATATCAGGACGTTCGAAATAAGTGGCTTTAACTAGTGGAGGAAGTCTTGAAGCGTAGTGTGGTGCGGTTCTCTAAGGCTAATAAGCCCATTTAGACTTTGACAGCTTTCCTATTTTTTAACTGAGTCATACTAGTCCTCAACTCGATTGACTAAGGCTGAAGTGACAGTGCGCCAACAAATCAATCTTAGAAGTTCCCTGATTTACTTGGAAGGCTCTTTGACGGAAATTTGACAAGATTCACAGAATCTGCTTCACAATAGTCTGACAATCTGATTATCGGAGAGAAATGACTACGCGCGACCCAGCTTGTCACTTAACTATTCGATAAATTCGATAAAGTCGGTTTGGCATAGAATGTATTCTACTGCTCTATCATCTAATGTGACGAGTCTTGAGGAGTAAGACTTGATGTAAAAGCTTCTTAGAAATGTTCAGCTATTCAAGCAACAGCTCCATAAAGCATGTCGCAACATGTAACATACAAATTTAATCGTGAGCACGGAAATCCGTATGGTTCCCCAAAATTGACGACGCATGCAGTATGAATGACGTGTTTCCAATAATCATATTATAAGGGCGAGTATACGCTATCAAAGCTTGTGCGGTGAACCATGTATCAAGACATGTGATCACACAAAGATACGGTCGACCTCCATGAATTGACTGCTGGTCTACTAAAATGGCTATTTTTCTCCCATACTTCAGCGTTTTCCATGAGAACACGAGTGCCTTCAACATATACGGCAAAGTAAACGCTGCCGCGGTCTAACTGTATAGCCTTCCAGTTGGTGGTATGAAACTGATCCTAAATGAAATTGAAGTGAACAGTGAACACGTGATCAATCTGATTGTTGGCATTTTCAAGTCGCGCTCTGATATACAGGATTTGTAGTGAGTTATGGGAATCTCGGAAAGTGGAATCTAATTGTTTCGCATGCTCTGAATGATGTGTGAAAACAGAACAAACGTAAATCGGTATCAAAAAGAGCGAGAATCGGGTCATCCGAGGAATGTCGTCGACAAATTCACACCAGTACCAAATGGGTCGAAAAAGAATCAGTGCTACTTCACGTTCGACGCCGTCACTTCGTTTGGAGCCATCTCTCTCTCATGGTTAGCATATGGCCAAGTTTTTGAAAAGAATTTATTTAAATCGCTAAGCTCAGCTCTTTCTTCAGAAAAACGTTCAGATCATTTTGCTGTGGGTGAGTTGGCGAGTGTTTCATACTTGATTATTTAGTAAATAAATTAGAATGGCCACTTTCAAGGGTTGATATCATCAGGAGAGATCAGACCTGCAGACCTCCGATTGCTTGAGCTATCACATATGGCATCTTTATCACTTTTCTAAAGAGAGACTGATTAACTTGGAGCTTTCCTTCAAGGAACGGATCAGGGGCATTTGGACTGATATAGAGAGGTGAAGCGGTGATTCGAACTCACATTCGCCGGTTTCATGCCGGGTGCATTGAAAACCTAAATGTAGTTCCGCAGTGTGCAAACAGCGGCTTGCCCAGTATGAAGAAGTTATCCGACTTAGACATGTTTTCACTGGGTCTACTTTTCTGAAAGCAGTTTGTCACTAGGTTTTAGCGATAATCCATCATAACTGATTTTTTCTGAAGGCAACAAGAGATGGTCAATTTTTTTAAGATAAAAGAACCTTGGCCCATATGAGGATTCAGTGCACTTGCGGAATTCGGATAAAAACTGTACGAAATTCCATTCTGAGTGACCATCGATAGTTTCAAATCCATTTAATTTGGTATAGGCATTTATGACATCTGCCTGAAGATGGCTTGAATGTCCGCAATACGTAGTTGCAACCAGTGTGTACAGAAGCCCATGGCCCGCTCAGCGCTTTGGATTTATCTTTTGTCCTGTGTTGATTTAAAAAAAATTCATTCACATTTGCCATGCCAGCTTACTGTTTCACTTCAATCCTTTTTAGCTTGAAAGATTTCAGATATTATGTTTTGTACGTAGGCGCTCAGAATTAATGACTACTTAATTAAAAAGCTTTGAGAATATCGTACCGAACTCCAATGCAAACGAGGCAACGAGGAAGAAAGAAGAGAAGAATATGTTATGAAGCGAGAGATAATTTTTTGCAGCAGATTGAGACGTCATTTATGAAAAGTAGGGCTGAGTTCTTGCCTGCACAGTTGGTCGTTCAAATGAGCACAGTGCTGAGGAAAGTGCCTCTTGATAATAGAGCAGATAATTTTCACTTGCACGTAGTAAACCAGAATTTGGGGACGCTTACTACACAACGCACACCGAATCCTAATGTGCAAGAGCGATATTTTGCGCGATAGGAGGCGTGGTGAAGGCTGAGAAGAATCTGAGTGTGCATGCCACATTTTCAAATGAAGTGGGCCGTATGCCAAGTCATAGGTGACGGAAGATACTGACTAAAAACAGCAACACTGTCTGTGCTTTCGCCGGGCCATCATGGTAGGTATTTGTAGTCAGGGAAGTGTTAGAATGCGTGTGGGAACCAAGTACCAATATCCGTCTCTCGTTTTTTCTGCCTTCTACTTTCTATCATCATCCAGATTGAATGCCCTTGGATGACCAGGACCAAGTACCGATTATCCCTGATTGCCTTCTCAAGAGAAAAAACAGCAGTATCGCCCATTTACTGGCAGTTATAAGACAAAGAGATCGTATAATGTGACCGAGATTGTTGTTACGGTCGTCCACGTTCAAGGCTGTACCCTGAATTTGCCTGTCCAGTTTGGTGGTTTGATGCATAGCACCTTGGAGCGTTTGACAGCGTTTGACGATGAGGGAGGAACGCAAAATCTGTCAAATCATTACAAATGACTATTTGCCGCTAACTAATAAACAGTGCCACACTGTATCTTTCGCGGACAGTTATATCCTCTCGTCCATTACATTCACGATTGTCTTTCCCCAGAATCCAGTCATCATGGTCAAACGCATAGGTTATAGAACACCCTAAAAGACTCAAAAACTTAGTGCTGGATCTTATAGAGGATCAGACAGCTCCCGAAAAATACCTCTCGTTGTAAAGCAAATTCCACAGCCCTCAAGGCTTTGCTGTCAGCTACAGCCAAGCACTGCAAAGGAGGCTACTTGAACAAAGGATTGGCATCCTTTACGATCACCTCGTAAATATTTCGTACAACGCCATCACCTGCTTTTGGTATCAGCCGAATCAATCAAACTTTCCCGAATTTTTGGACACTTACTCAAAAGTGCAGCAAAAGTAATTGCTGGTGCAAGGTTGACGAAGTAGAGGAACAGTACACTCCCAAACACAATGCCCACATTGTCTTTCTTCACGGCATCCTTGAAGTCACTGGGAAAACGATTGATCCATGGTCGAAAACCACGAGCAAAGTCAACGTAAGGAGGACAAAAGTCATTGAGACAACGCTGTCTTGTGGGGACTCTCTCTGTGGCCGAAATCGACCCTCTCTGTGTTGCATCCATTTGTGTCAGAGCACCTTCCTGTGTGGCCATGTCAAGAGCTGAGAACTTTCGACTACCAACGTCGAAAGGAAAATCAGGTTGACTAGGTCTCTTAGACATTGACGTGCCTGTACAAAGGGAGGTAAGTGAAAAGATAAGACATCTGTTAGAAAATGTTTTATTTTCGTTCTAGGCAACATCTGGCTTTGTCATAAGGAATTATATTTTGTGCCAAGCATAGTCTTGTCCTTCGCGTTAGTAACTACTGCGCGGTTAACCAGAAAGCAAAACGGTGAGTCGTGAAGTAATGTTTTCTTGATCAGTTATTCCCGATAAAACGGCCGTCCTTTTGCTTGCTTTATGGCTTGTATTCCTGTCAGAGGAATGACACAAACACAGGACATTTTCAGGCTTTCAAAGATATTACAGTGAGATTTATGGAATAATATGTGGCTGTGACTTAACTGATATTTATTTCACCCTGACAGAGTCCATTGTGGCCTCACACCACTTTCACGTAAAATGGATGCATTGATGGACCCTGTGACTTAATGGATAAGTGACTTTTAGTTAGCACCAGAAGGATGAAAATCCCGGCTAGTGAGAGGGTAGAATAAGAAAGTGACGCGAAAATCGTTCATAGCAAGCTCCTTACACCCTAATGACTTATCAGCTATCTAAGATGCTTCTTCATCCTGCTGCTGCTTTGATCTACTGACAACCCTTAAACCTCCATAGAATGTGTGCCTACCGCCAAGAATTCTTTCTTGATCCGATGAACAGATTTCAATGAAGCCTGCTACAAAAGTTACTTTTCTGAGTTCAGAAAACAAAGGTGATTTGTTAGCTCTTGGAGAGATGGTTCACATAGCCACTTTCAATTTCACTCTTCATAAGTAATGTTTTGCTGAGGTGGTTCGGGGCTGCATAGTCAAGAAAAAGTAATATGTCACTAGTTACCCGTTCGTCAGGTGTTTATTGGATCTGGAGACTTCTTGGTTTTTCACATCAATGCTAATCAGTACAGGACTTCAAACCCAATGGAAAGCAGAACCGGAGATTTATGTCAAAGAACTAATGGTTTGATGGGGTTTGCTTTGTTGACAGTATTTTTGCTGAACACAATACGGTGAAACATGAAACAGGGAGGAATCCCGCAAATGCTAGTACATATGCGTCTCCTCACGATGGCTTCCGTGCATGGAAAAGGCTAGTGTAGACTGTTTCGAATATTGTCATTCCACTGCGGTAACAAAGTTTGCTGTATTTCTTGATCCGAGTGACACCTCTGAACCATACGCACTCGATACGACACCACGTAGTCTGGATCAAAATCAATCCTATTGAAACGTACTTTTTTTTTAGGTTATTCCAGCTACCGAATAAAAACGCACCGGAATTCCACATGTTGACAACAGAAAGACTATGAAAGATTTGAACTCATGCACATAATAAATTAGTGAGAACACCTAGTAGGAGTTTGTCTGCGCAAAAAAGGGCCCCGGTAGCCAAGCTTTAGCGAAAACTAATGTAAACAACCTCGATCGGTCTGCTCGTTCAACAGTGGGAAATTCTTTATGCAACTAGAATGTTGGTGGACATTCCAATGTTCTCTATAGAGGAGAATGTCGGTAGCTCAGGTAGCGTAGATGGTCGTTGACTTGTTCGCTGAGCTGGGCAATTTGGTTGCAAACGTTTCATCACCAATCGAGGTGACACCATCAGTGCGTAGTTGTGCGTAGCGGTGGGTTAGTGGTTGTGCACAACTGCGCACAACTACGCACTGATGATGTCACCTCGATTGGTGATGAAACGTTTGCAACCAAATTGCCCAGCTCAGCGAACAAGCCAACGACCATTCTAATGTTCTTCTGGATGGGCCGCCAAAAGCAAAAACCATAGGCCTGGGTTTTAAACGAAACCAGTTAATTGCAATTTCGGGGTTTCGTGGGATAGGTATATTATTCACAGTCACGTGACTCGTTTGAACGGCCGTGTTCCTGTTCTGGCGCAATAATTCCAGTGAGTCCACACCAAAGGGAAGCACTGGACACGAGTTTTGCTCTTATTAGAGCTCATCAGCAGTGCATATCCAATGGCCGTGCCGGGATTTGAACCCCAGACATCTGGCATACGAGGCGAGCGTGTAACCACTACTCCACCAGCACACGTGGGACATATCTGAATTATCACGTCTGAGCAGGCGAACGTGTTCACATCTCAGCGATGTGATTGGTTGCCGGACTAATCGAACGACAACCCAGTAACTGTCCTGGTTGTGACGATTGATTGACCCGTTGGTTGGTGGAGTAGTGGTTACACGCTCGCCTCGCATGTCAGATGTCTGGGGTTCAAATCCCGGCACGGCCATTGGATATACACTGCTGATGAGCTCTAATAAAAGCGAAACTCGTGTCCAGTGCTTCTCTTTGGTATGGACTCACCGGAACAATTACACCAGAGTAGAAACATGACCGTTCAAACGAGAGTGGTGTGGCTATGAACAAATAAAACCAGTTGAATCTTCTAAAGTAGTCGGCCTTGCTGAATACTTCTTTGCGTCAGCTAATCCAAGGAGCCGCCCAACACGTGACGGATGTTTTCGATGTGCACAGAGCAGTTGTCGTTTTTCGTGCCGCACGTTTGTAGATTATCGATGTAGTAAAGCGACTGGCTGTTGTTCGGTGTAGGTTGATCGGCTCACTCGAATTATGGTGCCTGAATAGGAGAACGTGTGTCACCGCCATTGGTGTGGTGGTTAGCCGGACGGCTCAGAAAATAACCCGGCGACTGTTGTGCGCGTGCCCGTTGACGGCGTGCCTATCAAAACGCCTTGACTGAGTGACTTCACACACACTTTAGACCGTCTGTGGTTCTACCTACTTGGCTCAGTACGACCAAAACAGTGCATCACAATTTGCAGCACATAAACTTTCCGTGGTTGACGGATATTACTGCATGCATGGTAAGGACTGCTGTCGAACATCATACAACCCTCAATCGAAACTACATCAAAATCTTACTTCTTTCAAAACGCTCCGGTTCTCTGCCATAAGCACCTTCGCGTTTGTACGCCTCTATTTGACGCACCATACCGGCCAGAGCTTCGGGATGTGGGTGGCGTGCAAGTGGCATAACAAGCGCATCCGTCATGAACAGATCCACGGATTTGATCAGGTCCGATGTAGTTTTGGCATCGTAAACAGCTGCGCGAAATATCTGTAGTTTGTAATGAAATGAGATTCACGAGGGTTGGGATTTTCGTGGTCGGTTATCGCTAAAAAAACCCCAAACATTCTAAGTATCTGCCGGCAACACTATTAGCCTCGGACAAAGTCATGTAAAATGGAACCAACATTTGAAACCCATATTAGAGGACCAATTGAAAACATTCAAACAAAACAGGACGTGCAACGGTTAAACCGATTTGTGGCTACTTTTGAACTTCCCACGTTTTTTCGTTGGCATGCAGTGTGAAAGCAGAGCGTTGACTAAAAAATTGGTTGTGCAAAGAATGGTTTTGCTTGCTAGGTGTACATACATTTGTGGATACAAGCACACACACAAGCGTTCACACACGCAAGCGAGATCACATGCACAACCGGACTCTATTCAGCCTGAAAATTACTCAATGCTAGGATGGTTACCTGTGGCACAGATGGTGCTGCTGGCTGAGCATCATGGAAGTGTTTTTGGCGCACTTTGGAGCCAAACCATGGGAACCAGCTATGCAGACGTACACAGATGTATTGTCATGGGCATTGGACGAAGATATTGATGGTTATGGTGTGAGCTTCAACATTCGAGTCTACCTCTCCCGTTTCATGTTGTTCTTTGGCTAATTTACCTCGCGGAACCGGTATTTGTCTTCGCGTCAACTACAGATCTGTTTTGAAACGAAAGTCACGATTTGAGCCTCTATAGGTATCCGATTTGTGCAACGAATTTGGGGAAGACTGCGGCAAACTTACAGTGTCGCCTCTGCTAGAAATGCCTCCAAAAGCCAAAAAGCTGCAGTAAAACATAATACCAAACAAATTCAAGCAGTGTGCAGCATAGATCATGTTGTTTAAAGGTGGGCTTTCAAGTTGTTTGACCTAAAATGTAGGCAGGAGCTTTCGAATAATACTGGTAGCTTGGGTGTGTTCACAACTAGTTGTACTGAGCTTACGCAGTTGGAATGACGGACGTTTCTCATTGAGAACTTTGTACGTGTGCCTGTAATTTGTCAAAGCAAACGAAATGGTAGGTTTATCACCAGATTATGACATACCGAGTTGCTCATCATGACCGCAAACACGCGACCGAGCTTGGTATACTTGAACTCGTTGGAGGGTGGACCCAAATAGCTGAAAATAAACCGCACCGGTACATTCACTTCTGATATACACGAGTTAGTTATGGTTCTTTTGGAACGAATCAAAGCGATCAGTGGCTTCGTCAAAAAATTGACAGTCCCGCACAAAACCGTGCAGGCTTCTGCATCCGCTTCCAAGCAGTCGGTCAACGCCTGATTAAAACGATGATATGGATGTGCCGGCTGATTGTGAAGGTTGAGCACTGCGCCAAGAGATGGTCTGATTGATGCTTTTGGCTGAGACTTCAGACAAAGGCATTAGGAGGGAAGAAAGCGTGAAAGATAGATCAATGTTAACACTAAATGAACTGGACTACATAAGAATGATATGGATGCAACCATTATCACTTATGTATCCTGGTCTAATGGCGTAGAAGCTTAAGAAACCTGAAGTCAGGTTAAAACAGATTTATCACTGTTGACCTCAGCTCACTCCCCCCTAACTAGGTGTGCTGAAATTTTTTAATGGAAACTTGGGTTCCTCAGAGAATACAGGAGAAGGTACTTTAAGCATAGTAAATCATTCGACGGATTTCCGGTGACGTTGCCGGTTTCGTGTTCGTATTATGTGCAGGCGTTTTCCAGTAGCCTTGCATACAAGACTTGACGGGAATTCGCTCATCATCATCAGCTGTCGTTACTGCAAGTTTAATATCTTTCGAGTGTTCAGGAGGGTGTGATGGATCAACAAGTCATTTCTGAACTTACGAAAACAACCACATTTGTGTGTTGCCATGTCCCTGAAACACTAGTTTCCCAGGATGTTTGTACCACTCGTCTGAACCCGTTTTCGAATAAGATCACCTAGTCAAGTCGCTATCTCTTTTTAAATAGTTAGATGATAGAAATGTGAGGAACCAAACGTTCTCAACATAAACACGATAAGCTGTAGATATCAGCGTCAGACTAGAGCTAATTTGTCGAACGGATATTTCAGGAATTTATCAGGATGATCTCCCTTCACACCTTGGCTCTGACTTCCGTACTCGATAAAATTTTGCAGAGTCTCACACAAATTCCTCCAGATTCATTTTGAAATTCAGTGATCAAAGCACTATTTCGTGCTTTTTTTTACAATCCATAGTCAAAAATGTTAATACATTCCTTTGGAGAATTTAACCAGATGGAACGCGCTGAACGTAATCTCAGTGCATATTATAATAAAGAGAGCATACAAAACCTGTTTAGGTACCGTTTTTCTGACTGACTATCAGATACTATCACTAATCGTAGACTGTGCAACTGATGGTCATCATCTGACTTTAAACGTGAACTCAGTGTCACTTATTCACACTACGGCAACTTTTATTCACTGACCGCTTTGACGCTGTTAGTCCATTTTCTTGTTAGTCTCCAACACTCACTATCAGTTTCAAAAGTTGGTATCCTGTCGCATTCTCAATCACCTGAACAGATAATGCCATCCTTGTGAGCCAGACAAAATGTTATTCAAGGTGAAATGATGTCAAGTTGGTGTTATGGTGAAATCAACGTTTAGCCTCAGCTAGTTTGAAATAGAAAGACTATATGGTTAGGGTCACCGGTTTAGACAATTTTCCGTTCTTTAACCATCACGTTAGAGTGATTATCACGGTAGCTATTCTCATGCAATAGTCCATGTCAATTGTCATGACTGTGATTCGTTACTAGCAGCTGCGTCAGAATTATTTGCGTACGGCGATTTCTAGCTTGTGAAGAAAATCGGTGTAAGCGAGAATAGGGTTTAAGAACTATGGAAGAGCAATTTTTGTTGGCAGTAAATTGCAAGGATAGCAGCATGTTTCCGCAAGTCTGGAATGAAGTTTCGGAAGGTGCAACCGTTTCAATCATTCGGAATATGTAACCAAGTGGAATTCCTGCATCTGGTTTTTGAAATGATAAACAATGAAGAATAGTAAAGCTTATCAGACATCTAACAAGTCGTATTCGACAGACACATTCGCTTTTGAAATAAAATTGAAGGGTGTGCTCGAAATAAATTCATCTTTGTGAAAGCCGATCCTTTCGGACATGAACCATTATCTCATTGGAGGATCTTTCAGACAGGTGGCCTCGTACTATTAGAATATTTTCTACCTCTTTCATATCCTCAACACTTATAGTCGGGGATGCGATAATTACATCGCCAGTAAACGCGCTCATCATCACGGCATTATTCGGAACGTTTTGGGTTGTAGGTTTGTAGTTTTCAGCAATCTGTTGGACCACGTCGAGTTACGCTCAAGTTTATCTAAAATGCGGGAACAAAAAAACAATAATAAAACAATAAAAACTTTACAGGCCTCAAATCGTAGGACTATGCCGGCTTCTACACACCGGTTTAGGAATGGCTAATTCCTAACTCATCTCAAAGTCTAGACCGACTCAAAGCTACGTGTTTACAAGATAGCGAAACCACGTGTAAACTTTAAACAACGTGTCCGACGACAAGGTCAAAGAACAGTTTATGTTCAAGTCAAAAACAAGAAAGGCGCAAAACCAAATCGCGTTGAACACCATAAAAATAGAAAGGAAGCAACATAGGCGTCATGTTTGAGGATAAGTACTTTCCGTGAGCACTTGTGGGAGTCCAAGAGGGAAACAAGGAGACCATTTGGTGAACAGTTACGGAGTTTTACTTAACGGACTAATTGTTTGCTGATCAGTTTGTGTAGCTGATAAATTTCACTTCGGTGTAAAAATTGATTTAAACATGTGGTTCAGCATAATCAGAATATGGCATTTTCTTAGTCATCATCCCGATATGAAATGCTGAAACAAAGCGGTTTTCCAAGAACGACGCGTTTTTGCTTTGAGTTAGCTGCTAGATGCCACTCTTCTAATCAGCTGACTGACACATGTTTCTAGGGGCGACTTTTTGCGACAGTTACGACAGCAGAGTATCTTACAAAGTAAACAGTGATCTTGACTCTTTCTAGTAGACACCAGACAACAGTTTTGGAGCGCGACCCTCAGAACACGTCAAATGCGTTGAGTTCCATGCACACCAACAGTAAAAAGTTTGTAAGACATCCTGCGTTGATAAAAATCACAGTCATTGTAATTACTGTGTTAGTTTGCCGCAAACATATCTGGAGTCTCCTTGAGTCAAACTGCCAATTACTGTTGAGCGTACCGAGAGACGCCGTTTGTATCCGTTCACAGTCACGTGGTTTTGTGGTGAATTTTATCAACTGTATGCCACAGAGAGACAAACGAACTAACGCATAACGAGCCGATAACAACTTTGAGATTAGATTAAACAAATTCGTGAAGAAAGGAACCGTGTGGTTTAATAACCCGGCTATCAAAACTGAATCTCATGAATGGTGGTTAGTAGAAAACTCACCGTCATGGCGACCGGCTTTTCAATGGTATCATCGTCCGGAACAAAACCCTGTGGATAAAACGTAATGAAAGCCAAGCCGCTCTACTGGATATACCGAGCAACAAATGAACAAACGATGACTATCAGTGAACTCACCAAGTTCACAATTTCATGAGCTAAACCGATGAGAAAAACAAAAAAGCGTGACAGAATTACGAAGTCTGTGAAAGTTAGACCATCACAATATTGAGAAAAATCAATTTTGCTAGGTCTGTATTTTGTTTATTACACAATACTGCATACAGTCATTCATAGAATACAGCAATGGAATGTATTGGCTAGATTTTTCATCGCCTTAAGGTCACTGGCCGTAGAACGATGAGGAACCGTGCGCAATCATATGGACCAACGAAATATACCAGCATTCCAGTCTTTTGCTTGTCACTTCGCATTAACACTGAAAGCTATTTTCTTGTTGCTGATGTATTGAGAAATACCAAGCAATGGGACCCTTGTTCGACGTACGGGGGACTATTTTTCGCTAATATATTCTGAAGGGCTTAACCAGGCACCCAGTTATCTGAACACACACGTGCACAAACAGGCTTCAGGAGCAAAGGTTGTTCACGTGGTCACCTGAAGGTTGTTCCAAGCACATAAGCGAGCTTCAGTGTGTTGAATATCGTCTACTCACTACGGATGTACGGACAGAACACAGGTATCACGGGTCTCTTAGTTTCATGATGCGCAAAACATGAGTCATATAACGGGGTGATCTACAAAGTTTAGCAGGCAGATAGAATTGGAGGCTAGTGGCATGTTTGTAAGACCATGGCTAGCGAAGCTTCGGACCGGAAATAAATGTTCAGTGCAAGCCCGGCCTTGCCCAGTGTCGAAAAAAAGGTTCATATTGGTTTAGTGACGCCACTCGGAATGGCCTGTGTTCGAGTTGCAATGGGCATTTGAGGACAGAAGAGGCAGGTTTATGCTTTCACCTATGAGCTCTTGGTAACACTCACTTTAATCAGGGAAAATTCGAATAAGATTTGGCCTTTAGGGCTGGCGCATCTCGCGTCCAAAAAGATAGTTTGGGTGAAAGCAGCACGATCGACTAAAATGCGTCTCGCATCAAGAATACTTATCTATAACTCAAGGGCAGCCAAAATTCTGACAAACCGTGGATTCACGGGATCAACTAGACTTTTCCTGGAACCCTGTACGTGTGAGGGATTAAAGTACAACAAGGCGATGCAAATGGTGCGACCATTGGATGCCGCAGGATGACATTGAGACGGTTACTTGTGGGTTACGTTGTAGGTAGAGTGGAGAGGAGTCTTTCAGAACACTCGCCACGGATTTTACTCCTCCTAGTCTGTGTATTACTACCCTGTTTGAAAAAGCCGCGTAGGTGGGACCAAGGATACTGAAATCCAAGGCGAAAGAAAAAGAAATTGCTTTTGTGGTGCGTGAACATTGAGAATGACCTTGAGAATGAGGAACTTGCTATCACTTGCCTAACTCGCCATTAGCGTGTGCAGTAACTATCACGTGCCCAGACGGATTCCTCCGAGGTGAGCCTCCAAATTTCACAAGCTAGTTTGATTTCAAACATCTCAGGAAAGCTTGATGAGTCAACAATGGATGCTAGGGATTTCACACTACCTTGCATAAACATTTTGAAGATTACTTCGATAAGGCTTGCTGATGATAAATATTGTGGGATTGGACACCATGCTGCGTCAAACTGTATTTTTGTACTGTATTCGTATCCTCAAACCTAGAATTCAGCAAAACGTTTCTAGCCAGTTGAATGGCCTTATTCACGCCTTCCTTTCCTGCTGAAGTAATCTCACTATTAAATAAATTCATATCGCAGGCAAGAGGAGGTTAGGAATACGTGGGGTCATCCAGACTTCCTCCTCTCCTGTGTTTGTCCTTCCCTTTCACTCACCTGCTTATAGTCCACATTAAATATATTGGTACCATCGTGACAGCGTAAAAAAAAATTGAGACTTTCTCGCGAAGTAGCTTAGAAAAGCTGCCAACCCCAGGTAGATTACTGCAGACATTCGCTTGACGCCACCAGGGCGAGTAATGAAGAGAATGACAGAATTGGTGAATTTTTGAGTGTCGTTGTAAACCTTCTTGCAATGCCGCTCGACTTATAAATCTTCCAGTCCTTTTAACTTCGGTATCATGTTCAAACATAACAGTTTTTTGCCCGTCACATTCGCGGAATTGCAAAACACGAGCAGAAATTAAGCGTAGATTTCCTTGAATGGAAAAGAAAACTTAGTTGAGTTCGAATGGAATGCTATACAACTCCTTCACTCAGAGCACACACCCACTTTCTACACTACCGACGGGCGAACTAAACCGTGCTCACACCCATGCAGCTACTGACTATGAGCAGACACGTTAATTGTCGGACAACCATGTCAAAAAACATCACCCCAGACTTTCCCTGTGGAATCCTATGAAAGCACCGATTTGCCCTTGAACTTAGGTGAGCACACTTTTGGCGTTCAGAAGGATTTTGAGTGTATTTCTATTCGTTTAAACTGGTCAATGTCAGACCAGGGTAACGCACTTGTTTTACACCGTTTGGAACCTCATAAATAAATAAGTACTGCATTATCCGAGTGGGTTCTCAGTTCATCTTTCGTTTGGTAACTCATCATCGGATGTGTGGTACGAGATCGAGTGTGAATGTATGGATTCTGACTAACTTTGAACTCTCACATATCATGCTTAACTTATCTGTCAAACAAGCAGATTATCTAGGGCCATCTTCAGGAATGTGCGCAATCGACTCAGGGTCAAAATGGCACATCCGGTACTTTTCTTCTGCTTACAAACACGCGCACACGACAAATGCGTATTCGTCGCAGCACACGATATCGCGATTGTAGACCTCCTGACCGGAGACTGGGTGGATCTGCTAGGAGCTGTGCTAATGGGATTCCGAAATAAGCCTACAAAACTTAGTTCAGTTACCCATCTATCACAGTTCTTCTCCTCATAAAATGACTTTTTCATCAGTCGAGTACGCTTGACTTCCTAAGAACACGGGACTTAGTATGGATCTCCAAGCAAGGCTGGATTATAAAACCAGACTGTCACTCATTTACTATACGAGTTAGAAGGATACTTTGGTGATCCTATTTTTCAACAGTCCACCATCCACCAGACCCGAATGAAAAACGTGTGGACACAAATGGCGAATTTGACGCACAATCTAGATTCTGCGACGATATTTCTTGTTTTCCATCGTCGTTTGGGATGATAAAATCATGTGATTAGCAGAATCACGCCATGGTGAATTGACGTTTGTTGGGATCTCAGAGGAAAGCAAATAGAAATTACTTCAAACCAACAGAAATTGAACTCAGATGAGACGAATAAGTTTAGAATCATTTGGCACGTATTTCCGCGGAAGGCCGATAATTTAGATTTCGCCCACTAGTATTCTCGATGCAGGACTTCTCTCGTAAGTATACTACTGGGATGAGTCTTCCAGCAATATTGAGAGCTAGGAAATAAGTTTAAATAGCCGTTCCCTGTCCCACGACTCACTTCTTGGGGCGAAAATATATTCTGTTCACTGGACTAATTGCTATAGCAACAGAGGCACTATGAGGAGACATGCTATGTCAACACAGTATGCCCTGTTTCCGATGCTGAGCAGGCATAATGATGAACCAGTATATTCATATGGAATCACAGACTAGTGATTTGCGCTTCAACTGGGTGAGGCAATTATAACGCAAGATACACAGCGAAGGCAGAATTAAGTCAATCCATCATGTGGGTAAGTTCACTTGGACAACCAGGTATGCTTAAAACACCTTCTGTATGGGGTAGTTCACTCATTAATTATTCAGCGGCAATCCACCAAAATATGAGCGTTTAGACTGGGGCGAGGTATAACCGATTACGTGTGGCCTTCAAACAAGTATCTGTGTGCATTTTTTGATTAGCTAGGTTTGACACGTGTAAATCGGTTTGTTTTAACTCGTCTGCATTGCCAAGTGGAATTTAAAGTACCTAGATCAAACCACTTTGTAGCTTTTGGCGCACTGATCAGTGAAACCGACACCTCTGTAAACGAGTAGTGGTAGTATTAATTTTGATCAGCCGAGTTTCTGCTCTGGAGGAAACCGGGGAAAACTTCAGTGCATCCTCGTAACTATGGTGTTTGCTTGGGCTGTTTGCTGTGAACTGCCGGACGGTTTGTCGTGCGGTTATATACTGACTGACAGGTCTTGAGATAGGTCATGATGTCGCACCATAATACAATAGCGCGATGCGTACGAGTTTTGTTGTTTACTTATTTCCCAAAAACACTTAGTGGGTCCCGCATGGAGTTGCATGTCTACCACTTTGGCCGAGGTGCGCAAGATCTCTACTCCTGTCCCTACAAGCCGAAAATCAAAATAACTACAACGAGTAGTCTGTCCTAGGGAAACAAGCGGGACGGACCGAGCACAGGTAAATGATTCTTGACCCACCAAGAAGGAGTGACTCTCTTTAAAGTACATGCATTTTGAAAAAAGATAGATGCAAAAAATTCATGAAGTAAACACGATATACTGTTGTATGCGAATTCGAAAGAAGTGTGACGTTCCGCTACAAAAAACTATGCGACCAATAAATAGTTCAGTCGACAGTAATCAGGATTTCTGGAGATCCATTCAGGTAACCGATGTCACTTAAAAATGGCATGCTTAGTCACCCGATGGTTAAATATGTTCAGGATATGTATATGCCATACCAACTTGTGTAACAGAACAATGTCACTCAAGGTGAGGCGTTTGGTGCAAAATACTTTGGTTTTAACACGGAACTCTCATGCGCTACTTCCAGCATAAAAATTCAGTGTTATATCATAAGAGAGTACAAATCAGACCGGCCGGCTTTACCGTGCACAAAACAAAAGGAAGAATGTGAACCTTTGGTGACAGGCGAATACTAAGTCATCTCAAAGTATGCTTGAAACAGATAAAATTTGGTTTTCTGGTTTTGTTGGTGCGCAGAAAAACTTCTACAATGTCTCCTTATTGGCCTCACTATTGTTATTGTGTCAGTTATTTGGGGATGCCTTTGAATGTAATTGTTTCTGCTTTTCTTACATCCCAACGTTCATCGACTAGGTCATTGGTTCGTGTAACGAACTCAGGAAAAGGATGACATTGTATATTTCGTCAGTGAGGAACCAACTGGAGTTTGCCGATTCACCGGGGTGGGCAGACGGTGAACATGTCTTGTGATGAGAACAGGTGTCATTCGGAACACAGGCAGTCAATGAGAGTGGCAGACTTAAAATTAGGAATTACGACGATATGAACTTCGGATGAATTCCAAGAGAGATGTGCTAGCTGTTGATTGCGTTTTGTGTCTCCGAAACGTCAAATAACTGGAACCACCGTTTGGAAAATGGGATACTTGCACTTACAAATGAAGAAACGGAAGGCAGAAGCCCACTTTAGTTCCAGTTTCACCCCCTGCACAATACTCACCATTCCAGTATTGTTCGAATTCAGCCGAATCCGAGATTCGGCCTTTCACTTCGGGATGCCAGCGTTCAGATAGTAAGATGGCACGGAGCACGTCGTACTGTTCTCTGGAAGTGACACAGTTGGTCGCACGAGCATGGTCGGCCAATTCAGTCAAAGCCCCTCCAAGTGTACTTGCATCAGTTTCAATAATCACACAGTCTGTCGAAAAAAAATTCACCTTAGTAATATTGTGGGACGTAGTAAGGTGTAACATAAAATATTCCAACTTTTAAACTTCACGGATCATTTGTTCCTTATCAAAGTGTTATCCTTTAAAAGTCGCTCCCAGATCAACCCATTGGGGAAATCAGTCCAGACCGATGACAAAAGCAATTTCATTAGGTAATTTGAAGCTTTCGTGAGTACCTCACACCTGTGTCGGTGATATAATATAGGTTGAGCCTACATCTTCTAGGAGAGGGCCTGGTAAAATTCACGATTAATACTGAGCAACAATTGTCTGTCGGGCCCTGTTTTGACCTGTTTTACAGTTTGCATTTGTCCAAAAGTGATGCGATCTCAGGATGCCTTAGCTAAACCTGCAAAAAAATGATCGGGCAATGTGAGTAGTTCGAAGTGTCTCCAGAAATGGTAACTTCGTTCGTGGTGTTTCCGGTCAATTTCGATCCTATATACAATAACTCCTCATTTTCTGATTTTACTCCACGTACATATACTTCTTTTGGCGTAGACGTTTGTGCTCTGTGAAGACCTATGCTTGGTTTTCCTACAAGCCATCAGTGGCTAACTGCAAATGATCAGTAATGATCCCATCTTATCGCGGAGAAAGTATTTCACAATCCTGTTTCATATTTTGGCCAACATATTTTGTTATATGGTGTTTAAAACCAGGACTGGCTTACTGATTATTGCAGATTTTTTATTCATTCATCACTATATATACATATATGTTTCAATCATATAGTCAGTGTTTCCTGTTTGAGCTTTGTTGTTGAGCGTTAGCATATAGGTAACAGAGTACTACGCTTGGTTAAGTTGGCGTCCCGTCATTCCAATTTTGTTTGGCATGATGTGTTCTAAAGCAGACTCTTGAAAGTAGGGAGTTTTTGTGCAGATCAGTCAGCAAAGGTCATCCTAACATGTAGCCCATTCTACGAATTCCCTGGTATACTGGGTACAGCTACTTTCACAAGGAAGGTATATCTATCCAAAAAAAGTTAAGTCACTATTTGAAAAATTGTCACCATGCTCGCGGGTCAAGTTCGATTGTTGTGAATTTTGTTCGCTAATGGAAAGACGAAATGCACACGTTGCCGAGTGTTGTGCCTCCGAGGAACGTACGAGACTACTCTCTCGTAGAAAACGACAAATTGTCACTTCGGATGCTGCTGTATTTTACTCTATGTCCTTCTGAACCCATTTGTTTGCATTGAATTTAACATTACGTTCGCATATGAAACATACAGACTTGAAATGTGTGCACAAAAGTGTATAGATGAAGTTAATTTATACTGTTCAGTGTATAAACGCAATTTCCTGATGGATAGAAAAATACCTTGCGGTGGGTTTACCGATCCGAATTTTGAAATGCACGGTCTTCAGTGTAAATGGCTTTGGTGAACACCATTAGGGAGAGGCAATGGTATCAGGAATTAGCAGAGCTCTGAATTACCACGTCCCATTTTCTGGTCATAAATGGGCTGTGTCAAACTTGCAATATACTCTGTGAAGCTTTTGTGTTAAACTGATCCCCTTAGCTTAAATTACTTAAGCTTCTTATTCGGTGATATGACGACCATGGTTTACGTTGTAATTAAAAGACTAACTATTCAATTTACGCGTTGTCCCACTTGATATTGCTCATTCTTTTAGTCTTCGTTGAAGCTCATGCACGGCGTGAACAAGATCTCAGCTTTCGAGGACAGTGGCACGGAATGGCAGTGCCACGGCTTTTACGGGATAAGGCTCTCACCACTCTGTGGTGAGAGCAACCTGTCTACTCGATGTCGTTTAGGGCTCGTTTAGGAACTCACCACACCACAAGCAAGCTCAATGATAGCAAGGCAGTAAGCCTTCCTAAATTCGACACAACGTAAACACATCCATCATGAGGAGCCTTATGTCTCACGAAAAAGGTCATTTGAGATTAATGAAGGCCTTTGCGTGATTCTCTACTTCATTCACATGCGAGCACATCCCACTGACACGAAACGGATCGGCGTAAAATGCAAGACACGCAATTTATCGGTGTCCTTCTCGACAACCGGTAGTCTCTCGGAGGATAGCAAGCAACACAACACTTTCATGCTAAGCCTTTTACCCGATGTATCAGTTTCCTCGAAGACATGGTCTTAATTTGAAGGCTATGACACTGTTTCATCTAAGGCACCGTCTAAGTGATGTGTCACGCTAACCATATTAGTTTTTATTTCCGTAAAATGCCATTAAAAGGTTACAATGTTTTCGTCTTCTCTGTGCTTGTTATAAATAAGACAGTGAAGTCTCATATGCTTCAATCATTTGTTAAAGCAATTGGTTATCGACCTCTTCTTGAGCGTACACTACTCACAAGACATTCCTTTGTGTGCCTGGCTCTGGTGCCAAGGTCACTCCACTGGTCCAAACAAATATTAACCCTGGCGATAATCAGAGAATAAACTCGTGGTGCAACTGAGTCAAGCATCAAGTGCTCACATGGTAGCTATCATAATCCTGATGTAGAAGTTTCTTGAAGCACTAGAAATAATGAAAAGTTCGTTCAGGTGGTTCAGCTTGTCCAGTCTGTTATTGGTAAGACGGGCGAAATGGCGTTAGAATTAGCAGCAGCCGCAGTTACTTCAGAGGACCATTTAAAACTAGGCCTTCGATTCCCGAGAAACTGAAGATACTTTCACGATATTTTCATGGCTTATTTCTCCATCCGTATATTTGATAACAATTCCTTCCGTTCTACTCCGAGCTTCGTATCAACCTGAAGAAATTTCAACACGACCAGTTCCCTGCTCGTTCTGCCCATTAAGGAAGTTCGGTTTCCCGAGCACTCTCATTTGCATACGAATTTTCGTTTGACGGGGGGCTCAACTGAATTCGAAGGGTTTCAACAACCCCATGAGTAGTATCTTACTTCCAGACAAACTGTGCTTGCATCAGCGAGGCTAGCCAGTGGATATAATTATCAGTAAAATGTCTGCTCGATTGTAGCTGAACAATGAAGATTGAAAAAGGTTTGAGCAGTGACCTAAAAGACTGGAAACCCTTTCAATTTGATAAAATTGGTAAAAGCGAATAAAAGAGAGCCATAAAATGTGCTGTCCGAAGAAGAGGAGAGGGGTTGTGTAGAATATTGGTACACCTGAAGTTAGAATGAATGTAGAGTGATTAAAATTTGTCAGAGATTTTGTGCCCTCAGAGTGCGTTGATTTACACTCAGCGAGTTCCAGGAAATTTCCGGAATACGAAGCTTTCTCATATTACAGATCATCAAGAAAGTGTCCGTTTTTCCGAATTGATCGTTGTTATTTTGTCTACCAACCTTCACCTTTGTATCACCCATAACGCCCTCGATGGGACTTTCTTTAGACTTCCAACGACGGTGGAGAATAAAACCAAAAATAACTTGAGTTCGATTCAAGGGCTTCTAAACTACCATGTAAACGACTATGCTTAAGCATGTCACGAACTAAACTTTTATCCCCCGAATCTGACCAATTCTGTGGACACCTACAGAGTTTAGGATATAGTAAGCCACGGATATTGAAAACAATAAAGTACTAAAGTACTTACGCCTCTTAATTTCTTCAGTGAATTGTGCCAAGCGTGTAAACTTCATTGGTGAAACATGAGCCTCGTTGAACCGTTGTTCCACCTCATCATAATTCTGCTCGAAGTTGACCCAACGGGCGGTTTCCAACCACAGAACGCGAGTGTGGGCCAACACAGGATTGGCGAATATCTCATCACCAAACTGCATACCTCCATAAACGCGAGCCACCAGTTCCTGCACCTCAATAAACATGGGTGTGGTGGACTCTATGAAGAACATGCGTCCATCAGTTGGTGTGACACTCGACGAATCACTGTCACCATCCTCTGAATAGGAGCATGCGAGCATAACATTGAATGAAATGATGGTGGGGAAAGCGTTTACTATACTAGTTACCATGACCTACACGACTAGAACAGTGTGGACCGGCATGTTCGTAGGTTATGTTAAAGTTAGGTTATTGGAGTGGACGTTCGATTACTTAAGTTTTATTGCCAATGAATCTATTTTGTCAATTAGGTTTTACGTTAAAACGAAGAACCTTAGATAAATCAATTTTTTTCAAAGGAGTCTCCAGCCGTCACTGCAACCATCAAGATCTTGTTTGGGCTCGTGGTGGCCGTTCGTATCAGTTTCATTCACCTGTTTTGTCTGACCTTGATCAGGTTTGAATCGAGCGGTAATATTTAAGCCATCTTCCTGCCTAATTTTTGATCACTATTGATTGGGATCACATTTCAGAGCATATGCAGCTTGAGAACTACTGTAGTTTACTCGCGTGCAAAAGAACCATGCATCGCCTTAATATGGCAATTTTCCACATCCATGAAACTAATTTCTGAATGAAGAAAGGGCTACTTTGAACTTTGTTGCATCAGCGGACAAAGCTTTCGGCTCACAGATATGAATATCTATCTAAGCAATTCAAGCGAATTGACCGCTCACTAATTCACTGAGGGCTTTTTTCGTCGTATGTTGAAGACTTTTGAAGCTTAACATACAAGAAAATAATTGTAAAATATCACCGTCATATTTGACCGTAACAAAAGTAAGGAATACTAGGAGCTGAATGTAGTAGAATCGTGCTATTATGTCTAAATTTTCTACACCGAAATGAGGAAGATGCAACCTAGTACCGCTCTATCAGGGCCACCCCTGTTGACCACATCCACCAATCCTTACTTAGTAAAGAGTAATAGCGCGAGTTTGACCGACACCGGTTGACGGTCATTATTTCGAACGTCCCCAGTCAAGCACTAAAACCTGGACTACACCAACATTTGCCAAAGTTTTTTATATACGCTTCATTTCTCTCAGGCGAATTCTGCCTTGCTGAACTCACATTTGTCATACTCATCGTGTAGTAGACCTGGTATTCGAAGAAACAAGAGAATCCAAAATCAAGTTCCAAGTCCAACGATCTTGATTAGGACCAGTACTGGAAAGGAGCATGGCATTGATATTCACTCCTTTGGAGCTGGACAGTGTTTCCAACTTGTCTGTTTTTCTTTAAATTAGCACTGTTGGAATCTAAATGAGTTAGGTAGTCGAACCGATCCAGTGAACTAGATCTCTTCTTCTTTTCAGCTTGACTAATAATTCTAGAGAATTTTAGACAAATCGTCCCAAAATTATTCAGTGATGACTGGGAATCTGGTGCGATCACCGTGGCGTGAGTGTTATTTTAAAACTGGATGGAGTCGCACTGCTTCCGCTTTTTCTATTGGGTCGCTATTCTGAAAGCAAAATGCGAAGTTCTGTTTGCAGTTGAAAAGACAAGCATGCATGTTTACGTGACCCTAGAAGCGACAAATTACCACAGACAGAACAAGTAGAATAGACATTAAAATGCATAATGATGGCTCTACGGTGTTGTAGATTTTGTCGTAATCTTGATTAACTGATACCACATGTGGCCATAGAAATGTTCATCGTCGACACCCGTGAGGCTGAATAGTGTTACAAAAAGTGACAAATAGACCTTGGAACATGTTTTTTAAATGTTCAAGTACGGAACGTTGAGTCATTTCCCTTGGTTGTCTGTACGGCAAACTAGAGAGTGACCGAGCATCCACCGTATATAAAACTGCACAGCTATGACGCACACCAACAACCGCCCAAATGAAGTTGAATGTTTAATGAATTCTATCTTTTTCCTTCTTCACTCCACCAGATGAAGCTCAGTCACTTCCATTCTATTTGTATTATTAAGTCATCTTGGTCGTACTAAATTGTCAAGCTAGTCAGAGTCCAAGTTCTTTATGCTGAGTACATATACTCATGTGAGGCCCGCACATAATGGATCTCCAAGGACCTGGACTCGTGTAATCACGGTCAACTCTTTTAACGTGTACTCCTTAAGACCAGGGGATTTCGTAATGCATTACAAATATATACACGTATCGCTATTTCTTGAATACCGGAGTGACTGAAACATGCGGCGGCCTGGTGCAGCACATTCAGTTACCTGATTGAGAATAGTCTCTAAATATGATCAGGAAGAACAGAAAACAATTTAATATCCAATAGTAAGCACAACAGCGTTACGGCGAAGGTGAAACAAGCAATGCGAATCGCTATGCAGAAACTCTCTCCAGAGTGCGATGAGCTCACGTTCGTCGATCACAGATAATCATATAGTATTGGCTGTGCTGTGCTGTGAGTGAATCAACTTCAATGCGCTCGGTTGTTGTATGTTAATCTGAGACTCGTCAGAACTTGATTCGTTCCTAATCTTTCGTACAATACGCCATGGTTGTGAACAATCAAATGAATGGATTAATCCGGTACCCAAGGCTTTTTCCATGACCATAAAAAGACCATATCTTCATTGGTCAAATGAAAGTGTACAAAATGAAGTTTGCTTGCAAAAAAGGACCATGAATCTCCAATGAAAACGTGAAGAAAGCACAGGGACAATAGCCGCATCTCTCCGTGTCCCAACAAGCATAACAGAGAATGCAAAATTACAGCACTTTTGCTAACAAAATCCAGCGGGTCCCGTTCATTGTTTTGGTGTTGACTAAAGCAAGTGATTCACGCACTGCTGTGGTTAGATTGGATGACCATATATGGCAATTCGTGTTCCATTTTGTTTACCCTATACTTTCCTGACATATAAGATAACTGCACATCACGCAACAGCGCCTATTATTGGTCAGTGATAAGTGATGGCTAAAGGAATCATTCTTACCTGTTTCGGACTTGACCCACCTGGAAAAAGAGAGAAGAAACAAAGGGCCAGGTGGAATTCGGAATAAACAGTGCAGTAGATTTTCCTACAATCGGTGCTCGAGTTAAACAGCATGCGTTAGACTGAGGGGCTGGGGTCTATGCTGAGCGTTCACTCGTCTAATGGAAGAGAATTAGTTGACTCACATTAGTTTATCCATTCTCTCACAGAAATGGGTAGAAAGGTTTGTCGAAAACAAAAGGGATACGTGAGTTCGCACAAACAATGCAGACACAACATCCACGACGGTACACCCTCTGGTGAGAATGCGCCTCTTGGACCGGCAAAAACCGCGGTCTTCCTGCAAGGCACACGCCCTGAGCCATACTTTTGCAGAAACTTCCCACACAACTGAGCCGCAGACCGACTAGTTTGGGGAGACAATACGTTCGGAAAGTAGAACAGCATAGTCACCACGACACGTAGTAAAAACAACACGCTTCATTTGCCATCATTTAGTTTTTTGTTGTGATTTCCTCAGAGGACTGCAGAATGGTCTATGTAAGTTGTTAGGCTGACAGTCGAGATGGAAGTTATTGAAGACATACTCAAACACGGAAACTGGACCCAAAGCCTCTATTTTCTACCGGCGGTCATCCACTCGTCTCATCGATATTTCTAACTTGCTACTTAATATACACCATAGGTATTTCATTGTCATTGGAAAACATGGTCAGAGCGCGTCTAAGAGAGTTTAAGGTAGATTCGAACGTGTATCCTTTCGGATAAGCACTGCTTAGTCAGTTATGGATGTCTGATAAGTAGTGCGGTTACTTGGTGTTTGAATAGGCAGCGTTTATCTTCAGACCTCGGACAAATAGTGACTGATGCTTAGTGAGGTCAATTGTTGTGCATAACGCAAGTCCGTTTGAAGCTACCACGAATGGCCTAGTGTAGTGTCTACTCTTTTGCATCTATCCGACAGTTGGTGCTTTGAATTGAAACACTCATTATTCACATGAGTTTCCACTGCGACCACACACGTGACCCCCAAAATTGGGAGCAAATTCTACGGGATAGTGTACAAGAACTGAGAGGCAAAAATAAGCATTGCTAATCGAGTTCCACGGAATAAATTGTGGCCTTCACTGTCAAATTCACTTCGTTTACTGCCCGCTTAGATATCAGTGATTCCATTTGCGCAGGTGACTACCGCCAAGATCAAACAAACATTTAAGATCTGTTGTCACTGAGGAGCAAAACCACGATACATTTTCCAATGATAGAATAATTTGTTGTCGTTTTTCAAGCACGCTCAAACACTGGTCACATTGTTCACTGTTTACTCAGTTTACTTTTCTGAACCGCTGATTGTCAAAATCAGTCACTCGTGAGATACATGATTGGGACTGATTTCTGCTCATTCTGCAAATTGTTGTTACATCAAGAAGTAGCAGGTGTAATTCATTTTTACTGAATGAGTGCAACTCACTTTACTTGCCCCGGTGTGCTCATCGGGTCTCAGTTTAATGTCTCTCCGATATGGATCTGGGCACAATTGTAGTGCGCAAAAGCTATAGAAAGAATTCAAAAAAATCAAGAGACGATGATCTGCCGTCTTACTAACGACGAAAGAGGCTGGTCTGCGATTTTTCGACGAAGTATAATTGTATGGAGGTCGTCGGCCTAATCAAGGGGATTGTGGACAAACATCCATGTCATTATTTCCGAAACACAAATTATGTGAATGATCGAAACCGGGGGAAGCAGCAAGCAAGTGATTTAAACCAAGTTGTCAAAATGGTGATGGTCTTTTTCCTGTCACTTAAGACGACGAACAGGGAAAGCGCTTGTTTTATTTTAGCGCAACAACCCCAGAATCAACACAATGGTATGGCTTTAAACGTTACTGGCCAGTCGTCAACAGTTTGCCGTTGTGAGATGCAAACACTACCAAAACTATATCCCCCATCTCGCCACTGAATTTACGTGAGCTGTTTGAGTTTGTGATGTGTAGATGGCGCTTTATTGGGATGGACGATCTGGCTATGCGAACAAAAAGGAGATGATGAGGACAGGTGGAACCTGCCTGTGAAAACTGTATCGCTATTAACATAAGGATGGCTTGGAATGCTGGGTTGACTGTCGGGTGAAAGTGTGCCAACGACATATGAGA